TAATTTAATATTAATAAAAAGAAAGGTAAGCTATAATTTATAGCTATAATTCTGGGGTTTTTTAAAATAAATAAGAAAATACTTAAATTTAGTTTTACTATAATAATAACTAGCGGCCAGAAATATATTAAAATTAAATAAAATAGTTAATTAAAGCGCCTTATCCCTAATAAAATTATAAAGCGCGTACTATATATTATAAGCTAAGTAATAACTTATTAAAAAGCTTATTATAAAAATAACTTATATATACTACTAGTTATAAAGGACTTATAATAGTATACTAACCAGGATAAAGAGGGCGATCTGGTCTAAGAAGCAACTAAGAAAGGTATAATTAATGTTGCCTGATACTATTACCACGAGACTGTTCGCGTCTGCCGCACTAATAACGATATCCGAAATAATATTCGAAAGGGACAAGACGTCACCAAGGCTACGAATCATCGATCCGGACGTCCGGGACCCTGTTATTACCAGTGGCACGTACTACTGCACCTCTCTATGTCGTTATTACAGGCCCCGGGGGCTGAGGAACAAGCAACCAACTCGTGTTTAGGGTAGAGTGTAAAAGCTCCACAGATACCTGGCTTGGGTAGCTTATCCGTGAGTTCTATAGTATTGGGTAATAACATTTGAAATTCTAACTTGAATAAACTTATAAGGCAGAGATCATCTAACAACCTCCCGAGGAGCCCCACCACCCTGCATTGTCCGGTGTGTGAGAATGCTGGCGACTTCGGAAGGGCGTTGCCGAGAGGCGTAATAGAACTTTCCGATAGTGTCAAACGGGATTGTGACAACCCAGGATCAGCGCCCTATGTCCCTGTTCTAGTAATGCCCCGTCTTCCGTCTTGCGTTTGACCTCCTGCGCCTGGCATAAAACGTTGCCGCCAACTTGTAGTTTGTGATGGTATGCTTTTTTTTTGTTATAAATGCCTGGCTAAGCCTAGCCTTCCTGTGGTTCCCAGATATTTACCGCTAATTATTAAGCCTAGTAATATATTATATAAGAACTACTATTATTTATAATTTAATAAAGTCTAAGACATGGAAGCAGTAAAGCAAGGCGTGGTAATTAAGCCTATTAATACTCTCAGGGCTTGTGTCTGCGGTATTTTTCTCTGGGTTATCCTGGTTATAAGATTGCTTATTACTTAGCTCCAGAATCATGACTTATTCTCAGAGCTGTAAGAGGAGATAAACAGCCTCCCTCAAAACTTGAAAATCATGGGATTCAGAGATTACCATTCGAGCAGGATGGTATTGAAAGTAGTCCAATGCATGGGGCTAAGGCTAAATTCCCATCTCGCGCCATGCAGTCTGCAGTACTGCTGGCACAATTTTTGGCTTGTATCACTTGCTAGGGACCAAGACTTATCAGGGCAAGCACAGGTACTTTGCTGGCACCACGAACAATCTCATCAGCTCAACATGCTCTTGCGCCCGACTCTATATGCTAATGAACCGCTACAGGAAGAAACCACAAACCCCAACTCTCACGCTCTGCCGGCCAACCAACATGTCACCGCCACCATCGCCTTCTGAACAAGGACTAGTTGAACAAAATTTTATTTCGCAGGACACCGACTGCATCGATATCCACCTCGACCTCATCTCCAGATTTCATAAAGGCCTGAGGCTTGCAGAACAAACCAACACCAGCCGGAGTCCCGGTCATTATCACCGTTCCTGCGCGAACAGTTGTGCCCTTGCTAGCGTGGGAAATGATTTGCTTCACAGTCCAAATCATATCCGAAGTTGAAGTGGACTGTCTTGTGGCGCCGTTGACCCGCGTCGCCAAAGTCAAGTTTTGCGGATCAGGGATAAGCTTGGGGGACACGATACATGGTCCTATTGGGCCAAACTTGTTAAAAGACTTGGCAAAACAGTATTGGCCCCCCGACGTATCCGGAAGTTGAAAATGTCGCGCAGAAATGTCATTCGCGCACGTGTAGCCAAGCACGTAGTCCAAAGCATTGGCCTCGGAGACGTTCAAGGCGTCACGACCGATGACCACGCCAAGCTCCCCTTCGTAATCAAGCATAGATTGTGCCTCTGGGTGGATGGGGATCTCATCTGATGGACCTGCAAGGGCGTCGGATGGCTTTGTGAAAATGACGGGATAAGGAGGGATCGACAGCTACACCCGACGCTCCAGTTAGTGGCCTATCCCATGAATTCGACAACTGATCATTGGGACCGACTTACATTGGCCTCCTTGGCATGGTGGCGATAGTTTAGTCCGATGCATATGAAAATCGGAACGTGAGGCAAAGGAGGAAGCAACTGATGATGAATCTTAGCGCTTCCCAGCGTACATGGATGGGCAAAAAAAAAAAAAAAAACATAAGACGTACTTTGGTCGCAACGGAGCGCTTATTGGTTGATGTAAAACCCTTCTCGATAGAGCCAGCGAGCACTGAAACGGATAGGCCTTCAATTTTCTTCAAGTCATCTGATTCTGTAATGTTTCCGTAGAGGGTGTCACCATTGGCGTCGAGAAAACGAATGAGTCTCTGGAACATGGTTGGGAATTGGGAAATGGGCCACTTGAATCTTTTGAGTACTATATCATGGAGGAGATTTGACGGTGCTTGTTCGGGAGCAAATGCTCATAAATATGTGACAATTATATTAAAATTATTGAATTAATGTGGCGGACAAGATTTTCGCGGATCACTCGGCCTAATTCCTTTCGCTCCGTTGGTTGGGCGCGTTGGGAAATAGTCCGTTGGGCCGTGGGGTACAGAGTTGGGCGCGCACAACAGGGTCGGTTTTTTCGGATCGGATTGACTTTCTACTGATTCAGTTTACCATCGGCTTTACCGGTAACTAATGCTGTCAACATATTCAACCGCCTTTTGGCCAGGCACGTGCATTCTTGGTTAATCTCACTAGGATAGGGCCGCGTTATTAGTGCCAATAACCGCCCGAGGTAGAGTGCTTGAGGCGAGAAGAAGGACTGAAGAAATGCTTAGTAACTTATCATAGCAATATATGTCAACTTGCGTTATAGTCCTCCTTGACCGCTCACTTGGAATCAGAGAGAGAGGAGCGTATGATGGCGGGAGGACTTTCTACTTGGTTTTATTGCCTCTGTACGCAAGCACCAACCAGTGAAAACGTATGGAAAAACTATACGGGATGGAATATAAGGCATACGACTTTTATTAAAGCTGTTGACTTGGCTGAAGCTAGCGCCAAGAAAAAGCAAAGCAGCCTCTGCCCCCACGACGGAGATTTGACCAACGATACAAGAGGGGACTCTTTCCTGTATCCCAGAGAACAGTCAGAAAAGACTCCAAGACTTTCAAGCTCGTAAAGCTACAATAAACACGCCCATTTCCAATTCTATTCCCCGTCCCCCTTGCCACCACTATTCAAAGAGCTGAGATCAATATATACATATGACAAATAGATATACGGCAGTAAGCAAATTTTCTTTTTGTGTTTTGGAGGCAGCTAATATTACTTGAAAAACCACATCACCGTTTCAGCAAGAAGCTCATAACCATCCCAAGTTTCTGTTCACAGGCCTCTTCGTTGGCCAAAAGCTCATTGCTGCGCCATGCGACGAACCGATCCGGTCGCACTAGAACACACCCGCTTTCTTCTACTCCCCGTACTCTAGACCATTCCATGTAGACGTCTTCCCAGTCCTGGCGATATCCAATAGAGAAGGCATTAATAGGCACAGAATACTTGCTGCTAACCTTTGCCGCCGCGCCTTTCCAATTCTCTCCTCCTGGCCCTGTGAAAAGACAGAAGGCGCCTTTCCCAGCGAGGTCGTGGGTTGATACGTTTGCCTCTGGGCAAGGAACGTTGAGCCACACATGTGGTAGGCGCCGCCCAGGAATTGTACTTGGCGCGTACTCTAGGACCCGAGCACTAGCGTTGGGACTAACGTTTTGCGTGGCACTAGGTGGCTCGTCATCTCGATAGATGGCTCCCTGAAGGTAATGCTGATCCATTTCGATCCCAAGACCATGGAACTCATGGCGTGTCATTTTAATTGCAGCTTGAAACGCCTTTCGTCGAGCGGCACCAGCAGGTGTCGAGAGGCCAAGCTCTTGCATACCCTTGTTGCGATCCTCCGGATCTGCAGTCAATAAGCCGAGCGATTCCCATACCTTCATCTGATGGCCGAAGGCCTCATTCGCGCGAGTCACGATTGATAAGCCCACAGGTTGTCTCTCGATGGAATATGACTCTAGCAACGACGGATCGGCAAGTCCTGGAGACAATTGAACTTAGTCTTAGCGGTATATGGTAAGAATATCAAAAGCCAAAAATGAACTCTACCTTTTTCAACATATGCTATCTTCCATGCAAGATTATAGGCATCCTGGATGCAAGTGTTTGATCCCAATCCGTTCATTGGCGGATGTCGGTGGACGGCATCACCAAGGCAGTATCTGAAAAAGGAAAACATTCTGTCAGCAGGTATACCAAAGCGAGTTGTAGTTGAACGTCAACAGGGGCGGTAGGCACATACACATTGCCTGAGGAATAGTTTTCGGCCACAATCTCGTTAATATTCCACGGCGAGATGCCGAGAACCTTGACGTCGATGGATGGGTCCCCGATCAGGGCACCAACATGTTTTGCATATTCTTCCTCGGAGGGCTCTTCACTCCGCGCTTGCTGATGCGGGAAGAGAATAAACATCCACTCATGCCAGGGCTTAACCATTCTCGCGATGCAAAGCCATCCGAATAGAGGGTGCGGCCGGTCGGGCTGAAGGATGAAGTGCAGATTTCCCATCCGGTGAGTGATGAGATTTGATAAATCTGCTCGAACAAGGACGTTTATAGCGACACCTTTCCCGGGCTTGGCAATCATGGGGACTTGCAGTTGCTTCATGATTCTACTCCGCGCACCATCGGCTCCGAAGAGATACTTGGAGCGCACTGTAAAATGAAGTTGAAGAACTTCATCGTACAGGGTTGACACTATACGACCAGCACCGTCTCGGGCGAAGCTCACGAAGCTTGTGTTGAACCGAATCCTGAACCCTTTCTGAGCGGCGTGTGTTGCCAAGACGGGCTCAAGCAAAGTCTGCGGGAGGTCTATCGGCTCACAGGGGCTGGCAAGCTCGTAGTCGCCCTGGAGGCAGAAATAGCAGTTAGCTACAGTCACCAAGAATAGATTTCTCTAGGAATATTATTACCTTGCGACGCGGATCTGAGCCCCATGAATATACCCTCGCCATCTCCTCGCCAGCCATGCTGTAGCACCATCGAGTATGCTGCATAGCCTCACCGCCATGGCCAACCCGCGTCAGCTCCTCTTCCAGCCCAATGTCTCGGAAACACTCTGATTCAGGTCCTGATTAGAAAATATTGCCCTTTTTCCATGATTGAATGGCGACCGCCCCTACGTACCAAGCGCAGCCATGTTGGTGATGTGTGCTCTCGGCGTGTCCGCAGTAGACGACGCCGAATTGACCACCAGGCCCTTTAGTCCTGTCACCAGCAAGTCAGCCACTCGTCAAGCTCGATTGGCCCTTTGGATATTATTTTACCATGGTATGCCAGGAAGCACGCCAAAGATGAGCCCGCAGGCCCGGTGCCTACAATGAGGGAGTCCACCTCCACCTGGTGCCCTGGCGTGTCTGGGACAGTCGTCTGACTCTCCATGTCGTGTAGTGAAGACGATGAGATGAGCGTAGACAATATGAACCACCGTCACGACGCGTGTAAGCTTCTCGCAGCTCAAGCCCACGGCTCTGGCACCTTTTTGAGCCAAAGACCAGCATGTTGTTCACGTAAATCAGCTATGGGGCCGGCCTCCGCCGAACACGGGGAACCGAACGCGGGGAGCCGAACGTGGCAGTTGCACCGTGTGAGTTGGAGCTAATTCTGCATAAATGGAATTAGTCCGTCCGAGAAACCCTCCGCGGGCGGTCTATACCCGTCAGCCCAACTTCTGTGCTCTCTGAACTCGGATTATAGCGGCCGAACTGATTATTTGTTTTCTTAACTTTGATATAAGAGAAGGCTCTCTCCTAGACTTATATATTTACTATTATACTATGTAATCCTGCTAATATATATTGCTATTAATAACGGAATTAATCTTGTCCTATCATATCAGAGATGGCAGGAACTGAAACGAACAAGATTTCTCTTGTGCGCCCGACCTTCGTAACTTACGTACACAAGGACGTCGACCGAGCTTGTCGCTTTCTAGATGATTTCGGTCTGGTCAGATGCGGCCAAACTGGCGACAAGTTCTTCTACCGCGGCTATGGCGTAGATCCGTGGGTTTACTCGGTGGAGAAAGGCGACAGCAATGAGTTTGGCGGAGCCGGATTTGTGGTGGAAAGCGAACAAGATTTGCAACGTGCCAGCCGCATCCTCCCCAACGCCTCAGAGATCCACAATCTCGATTCTCCTGGCGGCGGCAAATGCGTTACTTTCAGAGATCCAGTGGATGGTTTTCGCTTCTATCTGGTGTGCGACCAGGTCCTCAATGATGAGCCCATCTTTCCTTCTCCTCAATTGAAGTTTAATTTTGTATGCCTTGCCCTCTACGCCTTTGAACACTTGCACATATTCTAACGTCGGCCTCCTTCTAGCCCACCAACAAGTTCCGTTTCAACGAGACAAAAAGATTTGAAAAGGGTAACCATGAGAGAGCTGCCTCCACCCCCTCTGCCCCTACTGACCTCGATTCTCTCCCATAGGTCCAGCTCCTGTTCATAAACTTGGTCATTTTGGACTTTGCGTGACAAATTTCGACGCATTCTTCGAATATTTCACCACCCATTTCAACTTTAGACCCAGCGACGTGCGTATCATCATGGACCAACTTTGCAACAATCACCACGCTAACATGCCTGCTCAGTTCATATTTAACGAGAATGGTCGCAATATCACGGCCTTCTGTCGGCTAGACAGGGGCCTCATCCGCGTCGATCATCACTGTTTCTTTTTCTTTGAAGGCCCCAAAGCACATGTCCACCATGCCTCCTTTGAAACCTATGACTATAACATTCAAACAATTGGACATGACTGGCTGCGTGATAGAGGGTATACTAATTGTTGGGGAGTGGGAAGACATGTGCTTGGGAGTCAAATTTTTGATTATTGGTGAGGGTAGTCTTGTCTTTCCACAAAGCTCAGGCTTGCTGATACTCGGCGCCTCAAGGTTTGATCCCTCGGGTTTTATTGTCGAGCATTATGTAGACGGCGACTTATTCGACAATACCGTGCCCGTTAACAGGACTCGCGTTGGTCCTGATAACCTCCATATCTGGGGTAAGTTTAAAAGGCCTGATATATAATTGATAGCTTTACGGTATTAAGCTTCTTAGAAGCTAATTTTATCTCGCAGGCCCAGAACTACCCGTTACATTTATGGACTAAGTAAATGTCAACGGCAAAAGCCTGCTATTAACGCTACAGCAACACCTGGCTCTTCAACAGGCAAAAAGGCCATGATAGATTGACTACAGAGTCTGTGAAGGACCCTTTTAATAGAAAAAGGCCACTTTTTATCGGCATCGCCGAAAAGCCCTGAAAGGCCTCCCTATAATTGTACAAATAAAGCCACTAAAAGCATTTAAAATCCTTGCGCTACGACCCTGTTAAAGTCGGACCTTTAATAGCTAAATCCCTTAATTGACAACTTTCTAGGTAACCTACTAAATAACTGTTACACGGAAATGGCGTTAGTTACACAAGGGCTATAGTTATGAGACTTAGGGCAAATTCCCTTTCTAACTTCTTATATTTTAATATATGTTTTTTTTAAATATACTCTCTTATATATTCCACTTAAGCTCGCTTTCTTGTATATTCTATAATATCTATTTTATAAAATAGCTCCAAGAATCAGGCATACTTGCTTTACCAATTAAATCTGTATTAACATTCGCGGCTTTCATTTTCCAGTCCATTTGCCACCTAGTCCTAGCGCTTCCTGGGCTAATTTAACCTTTTCGCTGACACTTTTGCCCAGCCAAATTTGTTCAGTCCTCTCCAGGCCTTCCTCAATATCGTAGCACTGACCTCCTAACACAAATATCGCTCTCCCATGTAGCCCTTGGTCTTTGTTGTCCCAGTCCATTGATCCAACGCTTTTCCGCGTACGCAGGTTTGGAGACTCTTTTTCATCATGCCATATAGCTTCGGTGCCTGGCCCGGCCGCCGCAATGCCAACCATGGCCGTTGCAATGTCTTCCGGACGATTAACAGGCAGACCATTCTTGACCCATCCATCTTTAATTCCATCGACCATGCCTGTCTCGGTCATGCTTGGGCAAACAGCATTCACCCGGAGTCCCGGAAAATTCGCAAGGACATGGGGGCGGAGCGACCTCAACAAACCCATAACGCCGTGTTTGGTAACGCCGTACACAAACATGCCCGGAGTTTCCTTAAAACCTCCATGGCTGCTAAGCAAAGTTAGACTTCGGTCAGCAAGCACTCCATTATTTTTGCGCTGTGCGGTATAGAAGCACGCCAGATGGGCAAAGTAAAGCACACCCGTCAGATTGATATCTAGAGTCATGGTGGTTGGTGCCTCCCTCATGTCCTGCAATTCAGGATCGAACCATCCCTTCTTCTCCAAGATGCCGGCATTTGCGATGGCGTGGTCGACATGTCCATATCGGTCAAGGGCAAATTGAAAAAGAGCCCGTACCTGCTGGTACGATCGAACGTCCGTTTTGAAGAAGTGCACTCTTTCGGACGAGGTTGACGAGACAACGGCCTCTGCAGCTTCGGTATTCACGTCGCCAAAAACGACTCTTGCTCCATGCGAATAGAACTGTCGAACTGTGGCTGCTCCTATTCCGGTTGCTCCGCCGCTGAGAACGATAACAGTGTCATTCAACTTGAGCAAGTCGAGCGACCCATGGTGAGGATCGAATCGTGTCATGGTGCTATGATGCCGACTAGGGGATGGCAAGATTTTTGAAAATGTAAAACTGTGAAACAATCGCCTCGAGGGCTTCGACGAGCTCCGACTCCAAAGGTCCTTTTAACTCCATCGAGGTGCGACGTGGCCAACAAGGAGGCCGGATTCTTATGGACCCGAGGACGTCTATTCGGAGCTGTAAAATATTCCGAAATACATGTCTCTCAGCAATATCATCTTAACTCGGAATTAGCCCTTGTGCTTTGCGGGCTCTCTTCTTTCGGGTGAATTATTACTGGCTCGGTTGAATTATGAGACCTGGCGGCGAATTATTCGAAGTAGCGCCGGTTCCCCGGGTTTGTGGCGTCGTACCGGCGGTAAAAGATGGGATGGCGGCAGTTCCCCCAAAAAATATCGAAGTCAAGTGCTTGAAGCTGCATATATGTATACTAAACCGTTTTGGTAGGTGTCGCATCTCGGGTGAGGTTGCTCACAATGCCCGACTCTAAAGAGATTAATACTACTTTCCAGAGAGAAGATAGCTTAGAACTGTTATCTATTCGTCAAGAGTAGAACAAAGGCATGAGCAACTTTAGTATTCATCCACCGCTACCCTATGCTTCCGCCCGACTGCGATGCATGCTCAGCCTTGTTCTCCTGCCAGATTAAAACATCACAAATGACTTTCCTCGGCGCAGTTTTTCTTTCCGGCCATATTCAACACCTTAGCTCGAAGCTCCTCCAGGTGGTTCTTGTAGACACCACGAGGCGTAGTGTTGTATTTATTGCACAACTGAGCAGCAACTGCTGTTGCAATCGCATGCTGTCCGCCATTGCCCATAAACTTGATATTTGAGCCCGCTATATAAGTAGCACTAACATGCTTGCCCGCTATTATTAAGTTGTTAATATTAACAGAATAGAGACATCGAAATGGGATATCGTATAGTTCCCCGTCTCGATTGTCCCACTCCCAGAACTTGAGGCGAAAGTTGTACTTTGCATCCCCCCCGTAGTGTAGACAGAAGGCCCCGTCGTTTTGCACGACAGCGTCGGGAAATTTTCTGTGAGTGCGAATATCGTTTTCGTTGAGAACATAGTCGCCCTTGTATCGTCGGTAGCCGCCACTAGCGGGTACAAAAGCAACCCATTCAAGCTCGAGATTGGCATAGGTTTCGGGATTATTCGTCTTGACATTAGAAAAAGTGCCGTAAATTGCGCGCAGCAGGTGATCGCGGATATGCTCGCCTTGCGTATAAGGGCCTAGATGCTGACCGTATTCCCAAAAATGAGTCAGGGGTAAGGCCATTCGCCTAGGCAACTGTAGGCTGGGCGAATTTTCCGTTCTTTCAACCTTGGGACCCGGTCCGTTTTCGAAACATGGCTGAATCAGTTGACCACTGAGATCGCAAAAGTCCTTTGCAACCTCGGTTGCCCACGGCACAGCGGGGAAAGGCACGGGCGAGTCAGCATCCTTGGTGCGGAAGAAGACGGTATTCCCGTGATGTATATTGCTGCCCTGCGCTGGAGCCATGCCTTCGCCATACTCTGCACGAGACTCTTCGCTATAGAGCGTCTCGGCTCCAGATAGAAGCCCAAGGATAGATCTTCCAGAGCAGTCAATAAAAACTGGTGCGGAAAGGCGAATTTCTCTCCCGCTTCGAGCATCGCGAGCATCAATCGAGGTGATCTTTGACTCCGACACGACTGTGCCGTAGACGGTGTACTTGAGGAACATGGTAACATTAGGCTCAGCCTCTAGCAGCTGCCGCGCTTTCAAGTCACCAGTAGGCGTGCGCTTGGAAATCTTTTCGACCACTGGTCCAATGATGCCACGCGGGCTGAGTCCGATCTCTAGGCTCGCATTGCCTCCCAAATAAGGCCGGTTATGGACGAGAGCCACCCTTTGGCCTAATTGGGCTGCTGTCAGAACAGCAGCGGCCCCTGGGATGCCGCCTCCAATCACAACGACGTCGAAGCTTTCTACAGACACCGGCTTATCGGGCAAGCCAAGGAGTTGGCGTCGCCATGATCGTGCTACCCCGTCGGCTCCCGGTGGTGGAGGTCTCTTGTCACGGCTGAAGAAGATGGCGTCGCAGCGTCCGCAGAATCCTGTCAGATCGTGCAAGACAAGCTTTGTCTCGCCTGCAGGAAGATTAACTTGGCCGGCGGATTCCCAGAACCAGTCCTTATTATTGGCGCCAAAATCTGTACCCAGCGCTCGCCCATTAACTATAACCTGAAATCTTCCAGGGTGATGCCCAGGAACCCAGTCTTTAGCTCAAACCTAGACGTTGTACTTGCCAGCAAGCACGATAGAGATATCGGTTAAAGCATCCGTGACTGGTTTACCATTGGCGTAAGCTAACAGGTGCAGCGAGCCCATTTCGTTCTTAAACTGCGAGTCGAGAACCTATCCGCCGAAATTATTAAAAGATTCGGCCTCCACTAAAAACTCAGAACCCGAATACAGTTTCATGCTGTAAAGTACTTTAACCTAGAGATTTTTATTAGCGAATATATTACTGTACTAACAGGATATCCGAAAACAGCTACATCGGCAAGAGCGTGAGAGCTACGTATACACTGGCCAAGACTGTGTCATAGATCAGGAATTATCTAGGGACGAAGAACTCCATGTGGAGCTGGGCAGGAACGCTCTTTATACCTAACTGAAATCTTTGCTAGTTTAGGCAGCTGCTATTCTTGATATTTAAGGTAGGCAGAATATGTGGCAAATTGTGACAAGAGCACGATTAATAGGCTTGTAAAAGGGGTGTAAATTTAAAGATTAGTTAAAGAATATTAAAAGTTCTTAGTGTCCCAAGAAAAAGGAAAGGAGAGGTAATTACTATATATATATATAAAAGGAATACTTGTACTTAAAACTTTTACCCAGGCATATATTTAATTATATAACTAATAAGTTCTTTATTAGTAAGGCCTTTTTATAGACTTCACAATTTGTTAGGCCTTTTCCGTGTAATATAAATCTACTAGACTTAAGCTTTACAGTCTTTAATACTCGTCCAGCCTTGGCTGAGATCACCAACAGGGAGATTTATTTTAAATCCCATAATACCAAGCAGCTGGAGTATAAGCAAATACCAGCCAAGCATAGCAGTACCAAATAAGACAGCACCAGTTCCCTTGATTATTGCTATTAGCCAAGAACCTATATAGAACAGAAATTCACACATACCACAAGTAACCTCGCGCTAGCTTCAATAGCACCTTTAGAAAGAGTCCATAATGTAGCCGCTAAAAGCGTAAATCCAAGAGAGGCCCCTGCAAAGACCGAAAGGAAAACGAGATTAATCTTTGTAGCACATATCATAAAAATAGCATTCAGGCAAGCGAGAGTAATTGGGAAGAAAGCTGCATTGAAGTTATATATTAGCGATATTTTTGAATAGATATGCTTGCCAAGTCAAAATATAGTGAATAACAGATACGACTTACCAAAAGTTGCAGTAAAACTAGGTTCCCGCAGCCCTTCAGCAAAATTGCCATCTGGACTATATGCGCTAGCGGAGTTATAAAATGGATGCAGAGTTGCAGCAAAAGCGAGAATAACACAGCCTAATATATATACCGTTAATAAGGCTATTGTAGATAAGGTGTAAAGAAGGAAGGAAAGGCTTACCATAGGTAGTAAATACCAAAAACGGAAACGAGTTACCTAGAAAGAATTCGAGAATACCAGAAATAACTAGGCATGGGCCACCAAGAAAATAATATACGCCGCTAGAATAATACTCAAATATTAGAGTCACGCCCATTAAAATAGTAGTAGTAGGCGCATACGAACATGTTACCGGCCCCAAGGCCGCCAGATCCGCGCCAACCCATTAGGGAGCAGGCTAACGGAGTGAGAGTAACGCAAAACCCAATTAAGCCTAATGGAGTGGGATTGCCAAAGGTTTTTCGTAGGTCTCCCTTGACCGAAGATATTGGTTGGAGATAGAGCCTTTCGAAAAGTTCAGGCGACATTATCACAGTATCGGCACTTCGAAGTCGGCGGAGCGCTGTTTCTTGGGTTTCTTCAGTCGAGAACTCCATGCTGCGAGATTCCCTTCTACCCATAACTGCGACCGAAAGCTCAGAGGTAAAGAATTTCAAAGGTTGAAGTTTGGAATTGCAGTATAGTTAATAATTATAGAAACTAGAGTAAAATACAAGCAAATGGGCGTTTGATCTTTATACTTGGCAGTCTATTCAGACCGATACATTAGGAGAACTAGAGAATCTGCGCATCTAGTACAATGCGGTGGCGTCTATAGGCAATTCTGGAGTCTGGGGTATATCTACCGGCCTGCCCCACTTTTGATTGGTTTCGCGGGGGCTCGCCGGCTGGGGCTAGATTACCGTAGCAGGTCCGGTAGTATTAGCAACGCGCACACCTATAATAATTTGACATGTATTTTATTAGCGAAGATGTACATAAAATTCGTCGCGAAAGCAATTAAAAGTGGGGCCGACGCGAGCAGGCAATTCCCCCCGAATTCTTGGTTGGCTAGTGCGGAGTCGAAGAATTGTGCCGAAATCTTTGAGGATTGCCCAATTATATTCAATAGTTGACATTTGCGGAGAGCCGGTATTAATTGGTATGCAGCTTCCCTTGGCCCGAGACTCCCCAGACATCAGGCCACAACAAAGGCCCAAGTTGGAGTTCAACGCCACCGAGCAGCACAACGCTATGCAGCTTCCCGTCGCCCGAGACCCATCAGACAGCCATCAGTCCAATGGAGATTAACGCCACTGAGCGGCACAACACTATGCCATTCTCAGATCAATGTTATTGCGGCTGAGGGAAGGGAGGAGTCTTGCGGGTTGCCTCGTTTAATAAAGAGGGACAATGCCAAAAGCCGCCGCTATTCAGAGAAAATTGAGTCATGTCGAGGACAATATTTCGTATTCTAATGAATTTTCTGTCGTGAACTATGTATCAAAGCCCGGCAACCAGTAGGGGACGAAAGACCCGAGACACAGTGCCACATTGTTTTGCAACATGTTCCAAACGTCGAGAATCGAGACTGAAAACGGAATGTCGGCGTCTATTGGCAGAACTGAGTGTTGAACCCCGGGTCACTAGTTATGCTATTGCTTAAAACCAGTAGCCGCAGCGTCAAACTCTAGTTCGGACGTTGCGGCATTCGTAGCTTCTGAGCCCCGACGGAACGGAGTCGGCGTACGCGGACGCCACGTCAATGGGTATCCAATGCCGTTGAACCACTTTCTTCGTAGCAAAAAAGTTAAGCAAGGGTACGGTCAAGATTCGCTACAATTTCTCAGTGCGTAGTCCGTGCCTGTAGTAAACAAAAGATGGCCAACTAGTCAAGCAAGGCGAACAATCATTTTGGTCCGGGCGCCAACAGACCATGCCGAATCATTATTGCTCCAAAATTCCAACTCAACCGAGTTGGGCTTCGTAATTGCTCCGAGCGAATGATAATTGACCCGGCACGAGGCTGGCGGGACGTCTATAATCCTTCCGAGATGGGGACAATGCAGCAAACCTAGATGCTTATATGACTTACGGATTCGATGCAGCTCAACAACTGCGTTTGCACGTCCCAACCACCAGTCATAGAGTACCATGGCCGCCGAAAATTTCGACACTCATCTTTGGCGTAGCACTCTCCGACCGGAAACGGTAGATGAGGGCTATGAAACCCCCAAGCGCGAATCGAAAACGCTGCCGGCTGGATGGAGACTGACGGATAAGCATGCTCCCTTCCTGGTGGACACTTTGTGGGAAAAAAATGTCGAGGTCAAGATGAGGGACGGATGCAAAATCTATGTTGACATCTTCAGGCCCCGTGACGCTGCTGCGGGCTCTGTCCCGGCTATTATCGCTTGGAGTCCGTACGGAAAATCCGCATGCCACACAGGAGGTTCGTTTTCCTGTCATGGATTCTTCCAAGAAAAATCGTGCTAAAGTGTATTGTTTTCTCTTTCTGTTGCGCAGGGTTCAATCCTTTGGATTTGATCCCCGGCCGCGTGGGTGTTCCTCAACATCGTTTGTCTGGATTTGAGAAATTCGAGGCGCCAGACCCTGCCGAGTGGACGGCCAAAGGATACGCCATTGTCAATCCTGATCCCCGAGGGACGTATGATTCCCAAGGAAATATTTAGTAAATTCCCATCCTTCCCATTTTTCCCGCAGCAGAGCCTCGACTTTCTAACCGGAAACAGTCACTTCGGAGATGTAGAGGCCAACGATGGCTATGATACCATCGAGTATATTGCCAGTCTCCAGTGGTGTAACGGAAACGTAGGTCTGGCAGGCAACTCGTGGCTTGGCATTGCTCAATGGTTCATCGCCGCGACGCAACCGCCGCACTTGAAGTGCATCGCCCCTCTCGAGGGCGCGGGGGATTTATATCGCGATATATTGTGCCGGGGCGGTATTCCGCAGACGGCCTTTTGGAATTTTCTTTCTGGATTGCTCCGAGGTGAGTTGCCACCTTTGTTGCCTCCCCGTCTTGACGAAACGGTTGTTTATTCCCCATGCAGGGAGAAACCAGCAGGAGGATGTGGTCGGGACGTTGAAAAAGTATCCGCTCATGAACAAATATTGGGAAAGCAAACGAGCAAACATGAGCCGTATCATGGTTCCGGCATATGTTCTCGCAAGTTATTCCACATTTCTTCACACATTCGGTTCCTTCCGGGGTTTCCAAGAAATATCCCATGACAAGAAATGGTACTGAAATGGTGCCCTTACGAAGCCAAGGATATAGTTGACAGGCAAGACAGGCTGCGCGTTCATGCCACACAGGAGTGGCATGATCTGTACCAGGAGTCAACAAACAACGAACTGAACAAGTTTTTTGACTTCTACCTCAAAGGCGCGGAAAATGGATGGCATAAGACGCCAAAGGTGAGGGTGTCGCTTTTGCGCTATAACAAGGTATGCGCCTACATAGCCAGCACAGATCATGACACTAATGAATGACAGGAACCCCTGGTTGACCAATCCTACCCCGATTGGCCTATTCCCAGCACCGTCGCCGGCACACTCTATCTCCAGGCAGATAACAGCCTGGCGAAAACGCCCCCGCCAACTCCGGAGACTCTATCATACATGTCGGACGTGCCGTTTCAGCAGGCCGATGACGATTCAGAGGAGTTATATTTTACCTACACGTTTCAAAGTCCATGTGCCTTAGTGGGAACTGCTCGCGCTGTATTGTATATGGCATGCGAAGCAGCTGATGACATGGACGTGTTTGTGCAGATCCGGAAAGCAGACTTGAGCGGTAATATCCTGCGGAATATTAATATTCCTGCTGTTAATAGGAAATCCTGTAATATGCCAGAACCGGTTGACTTGATTAATCCTCTAGTTTACCTAGGTCCTACTGGGTGCCTCCGGGCTAGTCATCGTGCCTTGGACAAGAAATTAAGCAGTCAGTGGTGGCCAGAGCATAATTATTCTGCCAAGCAGCCTCTCCGCCCAGGAGAGGTTATTAAGTTGGACATAGGGCTTTGGCAAACCGGCATCTACTTTGAGCCCGGCGAAAAGCTGGTTTTGAAGGTGTCGGGGCATAACATGACTCTGGCCGAGTTCCCTGACTTGCGAGGGGCCATGCCAAGCTTTAATAAAGGCAAGCACTCTCTCCACGTCGGTGGCTCATTCCAAAGCCGACTGGTGATCCCTATGATTCCAAATGCCTAGGGCTATCAACGATGATTTGTGATGCCCCGGCGAGTATAGAGTTGGTGCCATGTAGTTCAATAACTAATATTTCATCTATTTATGTGCCTTATATTACCGAGTAGACCAGGAGCCCCGAAAATTGCTAAAGACGAGGATAGTCACTTTGTGAAAGATGATGCTGAGCCCCTTGACCTGGCCAGGCGCAAATTTAATAGCATGGCCGGTTCGTATTATCTTCCCCAAGAATTTCCTCGCCAATTCATATTCTCAATCTCTAGGCTCTTTATTTCCTGTCCGTTTGCCTGATTGACGGGGCCGTTAGCATTTGCTCGTCGCAAACACACGACATCAAAGGGTGGCCACACTACAGCATTCATTCAACACGCTTGGCGCAATATTCATCTCCCCTGCTATCGCGCACGCCATGTATTCTTACAATAATTCGCTTGGGCTTACTATTGTAGGTTATTTATGTGTCCCTGCTCTCCGCCGTGTGCCTATTCCGAATTCCCCTTTTAATCATCGCCACTTCTGAATGCGGCAAACATGCTATCCACGAATCCTTGCAATTCCAAGTCGTAGTGGAAATCGCCCTCAAAGAGACCAGGCATTGGCTCATGAGCCAATGTGGCAGTGTTTCTGCTTGTCATCATATTAGACGCGCCTCCGGCTGCGAGGGTCTCCATGCGGCCGGGCGAATCCTCCGAAGTCGCCATGTCATAGCCATCATCCACCACCGTTTCCTCCTGTGAAAGAGGCGGCTGGCCCCCGCGGGACCTGAAGACGGTATCCGTGCCGAGGCCTCTGATGTGTGATTGTGTATTCTGTTGATCATTGTCGAGACAAGACATTTGATCTTTGTTTTCGAAACTCGAGTCCCCATCACGCATGCGCAAGAGGTGCTTCTCCAGCTCGGCAAGCTTGACTTCTAAAATATTCGACATGTCCCACCAAGCAACAAACTGGCGGAACACGGCTTTCAAAAGATTGATATTCGATTCCACCACTAGCTTTTCGCCGGCAAGGTTCTTGGAGATTCCGAGGTAGCTGTAAACGAGAAATACCGCCGCGGCGAGCCAGATGGTGCTGGCAAGAAGCGGATTCACCAGCTGCACATGATCGGGGGCGCTGGTGCTGACTATCGAGAGTATCTTGTCCGCCGCGCTGAGGTACTGCTTGCCTAGCATATCATACCTGGCTTCCTGTTCATGGCCTCCAAATACGCTGTATGAACCCCCCTGCTGACTTGTGCGCAAAACATGTTCGGTCTCGCCGCATGCATTACCAAAGACTTGGCAATGATGCAGCATGAATTCTGTCAGCTGAATCATGACATGGATGCTGTATATATGCGAATCGTGCTGTTTAGTTGCCCTGGAAGCCGAGGCAGCAGAGGCGAACAGATGCTGGCCGCGATATCGCAGATGATCAGGCAAGGCCATGGAAAAACAGTAGACCGCGTTGCCCAATATTTTATACGTGTTCTGTATAGTCGCCAGGGACGGCTGCTGGCCGGCAAAGGACTCTCGACCAGGTCGGCGGGGGTTGAGAGACCCCGGCGTCCAAAAGAATTCCTGCGAGGTTGATAGGCAGCACGCGGTTCGCATCAACGAGTTGGCAATAATAAACCAGGCTTTAGCCGACTTGTTTCCGCAAGCCTCGAGTAACTTGAAACGCTCCATTGGGTCGGCCGCCAAGTAGCAACTCCTTTGAGGAGTTTTGCGAATCCAGCATACATCATCGACGGGCAACTTGGTCCAATTCTCATTCCAATCAATCAAGGCGGGGAGACGACGGACGGTGCTTGTGAAGACGTCAAGTTCCCAGATGGCCCACCAAGCCCGGCGACGCTCTTCCATGGCAGACCATAGCTCAGGGTCACGCCATATAGAGGCATCATCCACGTCTCGGTCTAAAATGTGAAGACGAAGCTCAAATGCGATGCGCACCAGCAGGCCCAGAGACCTCCATCCCCTGCCTTCTGCGCTCTCGGTTAACTCGTGAAACGAGATGAGCACCATGGCTTGTAGGAGAAGCAAAGGAGGGGGTTCTCTGAGGCCCAAGAGTTCTTTTTCAACATGTCGTTTTGCAAGGTCATGGAATTCATTTGCCGTTGGTAGTCGTGCTCCATCTTCCGAGGCCAACTCGCCACTGTTATCGGAGGGGCTCTGGGATCGAAAGCGAGCAGAAAAGGAGAACATTGCCGCCAACAGAGCAATCAGTTGAGGAGGTGATGCAGACTGGAATTTGATGGCTAGGAGACGCGTGGTAAAGAGATTGAAAGCCAGCATATTGTCGAAGTAGAGGCCGATTCTTTTTATACGGTTTCATTTATTAGTTGTGAATCATGTTGGCACAGAAACACACTCTGGAAATAACAGCAATGAATTGGGAGAAACGCACAGATAATTGACATCGGTGCCACTGGTGTGTAATGCGTTGCCCATCTTATCCAGGAGCTCCCCATAGATGGATAATGACTCTTCACCAACCATGACGAGTTTCGCCATGGGATTATGAACAGGCTCCGAAACTGAGCTTACTGGTTCGTGGTTGGGATGAACCAACCACGAAAGTCTCCGACGGTTCAGCAAGAAAGGTCCATCTGGGCTGTGGCTCCGGGACGATTGGCGACATTGGTTAATAGATGTCCCCAAGCCAAATGGAAACGATGGGGCTCCGGCAGCGGTCGCGCCCTGGGGAAGAACCGGGAGCTGGGTCGGAGATAAATCCGAGTGCACGGCGTTGGTGTTGGCATTGGGTGTCGGATGTATAGTGTCCAACTCCATGTCCAGCATCTCTTGCCTCCAGGCTGCCTGCTCTATCCGTCTCTTCCTCAATCTTTGACGACCTGGCTTGGGACCGGGTTTCAAAGGGCCCGAAGGATAGGCACAGGCAAGCGATGAGTTGATGCAGCCAGCACACTTTGGCCGTTGCCGGCTACATTTAACCTTTCGCCGCCGACATTCTTGACAAGATAGGGGGTTCGGCGCCTCGGCCCAGTTTGGGAGATTATATTCGATATTTTTCGTTGATGGATACATGATGGGTTTGAGACGGGCGCAACAATATGGCACGTGCAGTTATTTTGTAGCCCGCATGACGGAAGATTCGGCATTTATACAGAGCAGAGTTGACTGTCACCAGGCCCGAGGCGGGGATGCGGTATCAAACGGCATCAGCCAGACTGGGGTATGGGGTAGCCGAGAGCGGGCACACCTCAATGTGGAGCTAGTCTAAGGTCGCGTTGGACCAATTAGAGGACGAGAGAGCTAGCTGGCATCACAAAACGGGCTGTAAGCCATCTTTACACTCGGCACTAGGAGATTAAAAGGCGTTGGAGACATTTGTTTTCTTATTATTAATCGCGTAGTCAGCCAACAGTTGAAGCTAGCGTTTCCACCCAGACATATGAGCCGGGTGGCCAATCGGCTGGACGCATATCGTCGTATAAGTACATTTACTATCCCGATCTATGCGCACCCTTGATGCTTGATGTGTAACACTATCCGAGACAAAAAATAAATATCCTATCGGGCTAGCAGTTTATCCGAGCTATCTAGGGCTTTGTTGTAATAACAATCTCATTACGAACAATGCCGATATACAGCTCCTAGTCGAGAGTAATAGTAGACCTAGTCCAAATAAACCCCTCCTTTAAACAGAGTCTGCAATACCAGAAAAAAAAACAATTTTATTTTTTTTGTTGTAAAGAAGCTTAATTAACAGACATGTTAATAGTTATTAAAGCGAACAGGATTCTCTCTGTAAGCCTTCAGCTTCTTCCGCACCCATGGCCCCTGGTTACTAAAGCTAGCTATAATAATACTAGTAGTAAAAGGTCTGCCTATAAAAACTATAAAGATTCCGCAAAACAAGAAGTCCTTTAGGGCTAGCTTAATCAGAAAGGGTATTATCGTTCCAAGAGTCAATATAATTAGAAATACTACAAACTCTAGTATATACAACCACAGCCGCTAGCAGTAATTACAATCCCGTCTGATCTCGCATAATAACCTAGCAAGCGCTAGATTAGTAGTTAGGTCGGTAACGACCAGCGAATACCTAGTATTGTATATTTTTTGCTATTCCTTTTTGCATGATGTGACAAATCGTTGAGCCGGATAACCGTAATTAGGAATTGTGTGCAAACGTATTAATTGCTTGTGTGTGGAAGGCTCCTACACGCCATGTCTTTTCATACTGTCGCAGAATTTCATGGGATCCAGTAGTGGAATTCTCGGAGCCGCAAGCCTGACTGTGGCTGATTTTGAGATGACCCTGCTGCATTTTGCCAGGTTTACAACTAGCTCCATCTGCAGTTTTCTCAATATATTGGTTGAGTTATTACCGACACCTGTATGCAACATGGTGAATACCAAGTGAGTCGGGGCGAATAGCGTCCATTTCTTCCAACTATAGTGTATCAGCCAAGAACGGCCAATTTAGCTGATAGTGTAGTGTCCATCCCCATTATACAGGGAGCTCGGTATGGATTATACACTGTTTTTTCCGTTGACTTTCGGATCCAAACTCGATGTGGTTGAATTCGATGCGGGGAGCGGCAGAGGCGTGCCGGCCAGCAGGACCCAATGTGTCCCGGCCGTGTACCGCCGAAATCTCCATACCTGGTACATGAGGAGTCCGTTCACTGCAGCTCCCCTGCAATGTAGTGTTCCTAGTCTGATGAGGACTATAATAAGACATGGATCTAGAGTCGTGCTTGGCTCCACTAAAGCCGCGTCTCTGAAAAGCAGACTCGGCGATGTGATCCAGCACAGTCTTGAAATCGTCCAAGAAAATAGTGTCGGCCGCACACTTGAAAACGAGTGCGAGCTGGCCAGACTCGTTAGCAGGGACACGGGCACAAGGACGGCGCAAACTTACCCTCCAAAATGGATTTTTGCCTCCCTGTGTGGTGATTAAACCAGTCATGACAATGTCGGCGATGAGGAATAGAATTGCAAGTCCAAGGCACAAAAGCATCACGCCGAACCGAGGGCTTATGCGAATCAAGCCGCATATGGTAAAGTCGTAACACTTATTAATGATTAAAATAAGTTTTATGGTCGTAAATACCCACCAAGGGTCCCTATTAAGATGAATTGTTAGCAGGGCGTGGGTAGCTTTAGACGGGGCATATTAAAGTATGATTGAACTAGCCTTGCTAAAGCCTCAAAGAGTCTTGTAACCGTGAACATATTACTACCAAGCTGATTGTTGTATTCGAAATTTGCCCATGTTTCCAGAACCCAGTATGGCTGAACTAGTAGTAATGATATAATGAAGAACCGGCTACCCCATCGGGGGAGAAAGGACTTTATCTTGAGCCACGCGATAATGTTGTGGAGAGTATATGATATGTATAGAGTGGTTGCTGTGATGCTTACATACCTATACAAAAAATGTCAGATGACTTATATAAAAGGCATTTGAAAAGGCATACAACTGACCAGCCGAATGAAGGGTCACTAAGGAACATGAAGAAGCCATGAGGTAGAGAGAATATCAGCTACCTGCCGTTAGTTGCTTGCTGTAAGGGCTTTGCAGCGTTAATCTGAGCACTTGCCTGACAAAGAATGAGCTTATGGAGTATCCTTCCTCGACTGTAATTGCAGAATACAAAAAGGATGAGAATTATGATTCCGCCAACATTAAACCCTTGCGCCCATGTCTCCACTATGGCCACATTGAGAGACATGTTACTACGAGTAGGAGCTGGCGCCATCTCTGATACGGGGCAGAGGCTGAATATATGCTGGTTAAGGTGACATGAAGTTTTACAGGGTCATGTCTGGTAGTATTAAGACGTGCGCGCCCGGGAATTTAAATATCACGAGCATGCATAATCGAGACAAAATTTGGTCTAGATAAAGCCGGGAGTATGAAAACGCCTTCAATGTTTACAAAGAAAAGAGACGACATTGTCGGCTCTTTGTCTCGAGATTACACACACCCTCAGCTAAACTTATTAGATGTCACACGGCGCTTTGGCACCTCCTAGGCGTTTATAACGACCTCAATTTCCTCCATTATGCTGCTCCGGTGCCAGTGTCCGCTACGGAATGTGTGAGCGAAATTACGCCATGTCTTTTACCAAAATAAGTTTCGTCAGAGCTGGTCGGGAAGCTGGTGTGGATGTACGGAAAGCTCCGCCTACTACTCACAGCACACATATCACGATTGAAACCGGTGGGCTGAATTGAACAGCGGACTGGCCCTTTTTCTATGCATCGTAGGCTATCTATTCAATGGGGGGGTTTTGGCTGTATTGAATGGCCGGCTTTAATAGGGCAGTGGCGTGAGCCTTTACGAGGCGTTTGAGGGGCTTTATTCGGCAATACTGAATAATAGTAGACGCTTTCTATTGACAACACACCTGACCTATTAGGATATCGGCAATTTGTCTGAATTTGGTTAGTGGTCACATGCATGTAAACTAAAACTTGACATGTCCTCGGCGCACAAAAATACAATGTTGACTGCTCCCAGTAGACATCAGGCTCTCGTTTACCGCCTTGATTTTCGCACAGAGTCACAGTTGCCCTTGTGTACACCGTAGTACTCCTCAGTTATTTCCGCCTCGTCTCTGTTGATCTGCTCGGCCAGTTCGTTGAGCGAAATATCAGAACCCCGGGGGCACAGCGTCGCAAACTCATCCACCATCTTCTGCTTATACAACAAGTTTGATTCACAGACTCGTAGTCCTAGATTCCCGTTGGCGACGGCTTGCATGTTCCCGTGTGCCTGCGGAGCTCTCGTGACGTTGAGCTGCCGCATCGTCTGGATGGACTGTGCCAGCCCGCGGGCCTGATCGTCGAGAGTCTTGGCCTGTACAATAAAGGGAACGCTGTCCTCGCACTCATCGCCAGTCAAGCAATAGTCTCCTGTGCATGCCATTACACCCGCGGTAGTATGACCTTGGGTGTGGAATAAATTAATGGTGGCATTGCCGCAAGTCAAGGTTTGCTCTTCCCCGACGCTGACCTGCGCTTGTTCCACTGCGTTGTTGTTTTCTTGGGCTACAAGTTGTGAAGTGCGTAGTTTGTCCACGCTGTCAATTGCGGAGAGCCCTCCGGTGTGGTCTTGATGCTCGTGGCTTGCAATGAGTGTGATGTTGGACATGCCGGCGAGCCCGTTGTCTTGCAGCAGTCCAACGGCTTCTTGGAAAAAGGACCCCGACGATAATGTGTCGAAGAGAATTCCCTCATTGGGAGAACATTGAATCATGTACATTGTGTTGTTTAAATCCGTGTTGGGGTCGAAATCGTTGGCGGCTACATCCACGCTCGTTTGGCCCAAGGTGTAGGGAATGTCCAAGACCTTGTTACTCGCGCTGACGCCAATCAAGGGAGGATTCGTGTTCGGAATCTGGTATGCAGTGAAGAACACCGGTATTGATTCTCCGTTGAGCTGTCGCCTTCTAATGCTGTACACACGGTTCGTTACTGCTTTCTAAATGGCTATTGATCTGGGCTGTTACCTACGACGCACTGGGGGGCAGGCATGCAGCCGCCCAGCCGAAAAATACCCCCAGTGACAGTAATTTTGTTATTTCCATATTGAATAAAAAGCCACTGGTAGTTGGTCGGGATGATTGGTATGCAAATTTGTTGGAACTGGTTGGAGCGGCCGAGTCGTTGAAATGGTACGTGTAAACGGTACACCACACCTCGAATGCGATATAATAAGTACGAGGTGGGTAGGACCTACTTTATGAACATTTTCTTGGGTATTTCGCGTAGTTATATGTTGTTTATATATTGGCAGTAAAACTCGTGCGACATTCCCGCGACATAACTGAGACGTGGGTTAGCAGCCCCTGGTTCTGCGGCATGTTTCTCCCCGTGATTCAAGTATGTGGATATACAAAGTATTCGTCATCGTAAAGGCCGGTCAGGGGCCCAAAATAGAAAAATTCTGGAATCACTTTTGAGTTTAGTAGATTGAGTGATCGGATAGAAAATGTGAGCCAGCCTTGCGTCTCTAACAGATAGTGTCGCGTGTCGCGTATAAAACCTCAAATTACTATTATGCCTGCAAGAGAACGGCCGGAAAACCAGAGACGGCCGACATTAAACCTTTTACTTGGAGGTTAAGCGGGTTCATACTACATGTTGACAGTTATGAGCTAATAATAGACACGCTGCGAAAACTGCACAATCACAAGGCACGATGACAACGTCGGTGGGAGGGATACGCCGGCGATTCTGAAGAAGGGGGATCCAATTTGATGACATAATTTGTGCCCATCTCAATACAGGGAGTTCTGTAAATACAATAGCCTGCAGCACAGCGCATACAACGGATATGGGTACTGCAGGGAGGTCTGTCTTCCAGTTACAAGCTGATCTTATCACCATCATCACTTCGCACTGACGCCCCGCGACTCAAGCATGGGCAGCCTCATCGCCCAGCACTCACAGCAACCCAATGTCCTGCCGCGCAGCCTCCAAAGAACCCGGCGGCCCCTTTACCGGCCTGTCATCCACGTTTCTGGCGTTCTGTGCTGGCGGAAACGCATACCTCCCTTTATCAACCCTCGTTCGCCACTGTGCTTGTTGAAACGCCGCTTGTACAAGTTTCACAAGCATCGTATCACTGCCCTTGGGGCCGAGAACAGCGCCGTATATAGGGTGGTATTCCGGCCGGCCACTGACCTTGGATTGGTACTCGAATTGGGCAACTTGACTTGTCAGCGCCACGATGAAAACCCATGCGAAGCGTCAATACATACACGGTGCTAGAATTTGAGGGACACGCAACACGGAGGCGAGGAGGTCAGGTGTGACACCCTTGATCTTGCTTGGTTTCCTGGTCGAGTTTAGTACAAGGGACGATCTGCGCTTCGGGAGAAGGAACCGTACGGCACACCATAGCTGGGAGCATGGCTTGGATAAGCAGCGACAAGAATAGCGTCGCCGCCATGGTTGGTAGACATGATGGTGCTGTCGAACCAGTTTCGGAAGACGTCAAGGCGGGCTTGGTATTCGTCGTACAACGACTTCGTGACATTGCTGCCCCAGTCCCTGCGCGCCGTTAGCAAATAAAGGATATAATTGCCTTGTTGGCAAATTCGACAAACCATCTTTGTTTGACGGTTAGTTCTGTCGCAGGGTCTTTGCCAAACTTTGCTTTGTAGTCCTTTCGGAACTCGTCGTACTGGTGGTAAAACTCGTAGCAAAACGAGAGAAACGGGGCCTTTTGCAAGATACCTTTTTCAGCGCAGGTCATCTGCAAGTGAGGACTGAGAAAGACTTACGTCTCGCATGTACTCTTGTAGCCCTTGGCCTTTGGCTTCTGCAGGTGGTTTCGAAGCCCAAGTCTGTGTTAAACTGAGTCTCGTTGACTTTATTCCCAGGAAAGCCTCCACTGCGGCGAGAAATTGTTCATATTTGTCATCCTTCTCGTCATCTGCGCTTGAGAGGTCTGTCAAGTACATTATCTTCTTGGGAAAGGAAATTGCCGGACTTGCTAGGGACTTGTGGACAACAGCCACCGCGTCGTGGAACAGTTCTGAGAGGTCTGTGCCGAAAATCCCCATGCTATCGTATGTGCTGCCCATTGGTAAGCGCTCCAACATTGTTCAATGGCAGGCGTACATGGACTTGCGTGAAACTGGGTTGGATGCCGTCCAAGGGTAGCAGCCCGGATGATGTTCGAAGCGCAAATAGCCCTTGAGCGGCGGCTGGACCAAACACCTGCCCGACAGCTACTGACTTGTCAATAATCTCGTTTCGAATGTCTCTTCGCGTGGTAACCAGACATACCGTCGATGCCAGTGGTTGCTCTAAGCCACTCGTAACCGGCTAGGGAACTCGCAGCGCCAGTCGCACCGCCCGCAGGGTCTTGATGCCCGTCTTCTCTCGGGTTCTTTGGCGATGGCACATCTGTCCACTCTCTCCCGGAGCCAAACTGCGAGGATTTGGTCTTGCCGACAATGGTCGCCCCGAGGTCTATGAGCCTCTTGGCAAACGCCGCCGTCGAGCCAGCCGGGTTGTCGTGAAGATCGTGCCACGCACTGCTGGACAAGGTTGTTGGAATGCCCTTGAGAGACATGGAGTCTGGGATAGTGAAGCGGTAACCCTTCAGAGGGGCCTGCTCGGGAGGCACAGTGCTGTAGAGTTTCGAGGGAACCGGAATGGAAGTGTAATTGGTTTCACTATCGGCGGGAAGCTGAAGGACTCGAAATCTGTGCCAGAGTGAGTTGGTGAGGGCTTGGCGCAGTTGGGTTACGGGAGAGCCTATACAAATCCATCTCATCAACGCGTTCGGGGTATACACCGAAGGCGAAGGCATCTAGTGTATCGTTATATATCTTCCATGCCTGATGGACGTACGGCCCATGCAAGATATACGGTCCTGCAGGCAAATCAGACACGGAACGCTTCGCGGCCGCAACGCTGTCGTTCCGCAGGCGCATCACCGACTTGCCATTGCCTACAGACGAAACTGCCACGCCCGAGTTTCCACCCGGTTTTTCAATTAGAATATTGCCAAACTCGGGAGTGAAGACGTCGTCGTAAAAGTCAAAGAGTCGGAGGGTTCCCTCAAGGTGGTAGTACAGCTGTTCTGGTTCAAGCACGGTTACCGGGATGATGACATCTGGATTGATTGTTTCCTGGATTGTGCCCTGCTTGCGCGTGAGTGCTGAAACGCTTCTCTTCTGGCAAAATATCTGCCAAGGCATTCGGGTAGCAGGCTTACGAGCACTTGCGGATGCACAAGGTACCGAGATCCCGAGATGACAGTCGTGAGCACCGTCTTGATCTCCATGGTGGTCGTACTTGGTCGCGGCACACAGTCCACACCGCCACAACCTTGCTTTGTGTCCTCGGGAGGCATGCTTATTGTAGCGACGACTAGGGAATATACACCTTTAAGTATCGGAGAAACAACGACAGCGGACGCGGAATGCGCCGTCGCGTGCCATCAATGTCAGCGGCAAGGTCAGACTTGTCGTGGGGTAAATCGCACTCGGCGTTGCATCGGGAACCTCATTTGACCATGGCCCGGGCTGTGATCAGCCGGGGACCAGCCAGCCACTAATGCAGGTGAAGACAATGACGGCAAAGCTTGCCAAAGCATCCCCTGTTGATGCAGAATGGCCACGGTTCAAACCCCGTTAGCCCGACTTGGAGAGTCACGGCGAGGCACCCATCAAGTCCTTGGCTATTATAAAACCTGCAGCTTCTGAAGGAATGATTTGCTGAACCGGAAGATACCTCTACAGCGGTTGTCAACATGCATAAATACATCCCACCAGGCCCAGCGATCTGTAATTCCGTCACCGGAAGCATGGATATAAAGATGAGGGCGGCACAGCGTCCGGAAAAGTCTGGTGATTTTGAAGCTCATCACTGTTACGCAATGAAATTTCCCATTCATGAACAAGTGATGCTAATGTTTCTACAAGTATCCTAGTGTACAACGCCAACCCTCTAGAATGAACTGCAGAGTCGTCTACGGCGTGCCGCGCACCCCGGCCACGCACTTACATGAGATCGAGAACCACCCGGCCTTGCAATTTCCCCTGGTCCATTTCCTCAAACACTCTTGTCAACTCGCTCATCTTCTCCACCCGTACGTGACTCTTGATGACGCCCCGGGCAGCAAAATCCAGCGTCTCGATTGCGTCCCGGCGATTCCCCACGGCCGAACCGCAGATGGTGAACTGATTGGCAACCATGGCTCCAGGGCTGGCCGTGGCAATAGCAACGGCAGCATGCTCCGGCAAGCCCACGCACACCAAGGTGCCGTTGAAGCGCAAAAAGCCGAGAGCCTGGGCGTACGCCTCGTTCGAGGCGGTGCAGGCAATGACGGCGTGGGCGCCCAGGCCGCCGCACAGCTTCTTGACGTGCGCGGTGATTCCGGCGCCAGCGCCGTCGTCGTCCTTGCGGAACTGGGTAAAGTCGACAAAGTGCTCGGCGCCCGAAGAACGGACCAGGTCGGCTTTGCTCGCGTGGTCGACGCCGACGACGCGCAGGCCCATGCCGCGGCTGGCGAGCTGCACGGCGAGGTGACCCAGGCCGCCTCCCGCTCCGGTGATGACTACCCACTGGCCGGATCTTGCTTGGCTTCGCCGCAGGGCAGAGTAGACGGTTATGCCTCCGCAGAGCAGGGGAGCTGCCTCGGCCGAGTCGAGCTGCTCGGGAATACGGGTCACGTAGTCCGCTGGGCCTGTGACGTATTGCTGAAACGTCCCGGGCGTGTAGTATCCAGAGATTTTTTGCCTAAAGCAGAGGCCGTCTGAGCCGGCCTGGCATGGCTCTTGAACGTCTAGTTAGCTGGGGCGTGAAAACAAGAACCAGACGGAACAGGTCGACACGAGGGACGAACCACAGTGACCACATGCGCTGGATATCCATTTGACGCCGACCCGATCTCCAACGGACAGGCCGGCGGTTTCGGCTCCCGGGCCTAGCTTGACGACTTTGCCAACGCCTTCATGCCCGCCGACTTGTCCTGCCGGCGTGGGATGCGGCAATGTACTCCACTGTAGTATCGTGCCTGTTAGTCAAGACCAGATAGGTGGTGGTTAGATGGAAAAGTCGGCTGGCAAGTACGTACCGAGTTTGTCATGACCCCCAAGTCTGAATGGCACACGCCGGAATGGCTTCTAGACGGAGAATGAGCATACTCGGTCTCTACGGAAACGAGGTCATTCGTACAGTCGAACGAGCACCTCACCTGGGCCGGGGTCCGGCACTGCCAAGTCAACAACCTTGGTCGATATGGTGCCGGGCTCGTCGTACACCAGCGCCTTTTGAGTGGTGGGAATAGCCATTTTCAACAATGATGGTTACAATGATGCTTATTGCTGGGGTTTTAGCCAAGAAGCTGCTTGGGCGATTGTAGATCGTCTATCAACTTATACGCCAGCCAGCCAGAGAACCCCGCTCATCTTGCCGAGGTTATTATGAGGATGGGCGACGCCGATGCAACTCTAAACGGCGCTTCAATCAAGCCGCCCGCGTCATGGTGCCTGCTCGGACAGCTCAAAATAAAAGTAGCCTGGTTCCTGCCAGAACTCCTGTCCAGCATTTCCTGAACCGGTTACGCCTTCACTCAGTCTCGTGGACAGCCGAGGTGGACCTTGCGCCACTGTTGTTTCATCTTGGCCTTGGACTCGGCGACCGAGTTTCTCTTTGGACAAGGCTCAAGTCACAAATCGCTCGAGGTATAAATTCAGGCTCTTCCAGCACTCACAAACGTGTAGGGGATGGCGGTGACGGCAAGTCTTTCGGCCGAGCCGTTGACAGAGCCTATGCGTGGTTCAACTAATAGACCTCTCAAGTGGCAAGTTCACCAGTTTGCAAGTTACTATGTCTGACGACAGTAGAAACTGGCCAAGACGGCCCCCGGAATGCCCGGAATAGTATTTCTCACTACACATAGCAGACATCTTTACCTTGAGAATCTGGGAATATAATCATGCCACCGCTCCTTCTGCTCCCTCACCAACAGGCACATCAAGAACACCCCGCCGACTCCATTGATGAACAAAGGAACCATCCTTGCGCTCAACCTCCTCCCACAACTTGGCCGTCAAAAATTTATATATCCACTCACTCGCGCCGTGGAAGCTAATCCCATGGTCACTGTCCGTAAAGGCAACCATCTGGAACTTGTCCGGCGAGACGCCCTTGGCCACCAGCAAATCCGCCAACACCGCCGCGTGCTGGTAGTGCACATTGTCGTCGCCAGTGCCGTGCATCAGGGCAAACTTCCCCGCCACGTTTTTAAAGCCCTCGGCATTCCGTATCGCCGTCTTGTTGTAGCCATCCGCGTTGGTCGCCGGCGTCTTCATGTACCGCTCCGTGTAGGCGGAATCATAGAACCGCCAGTCCGACACGGGAGCCGTGCTCAGCCCAAAGGTGAAGGCGCCCGAGTCGGCCTCAATCACCTTGGCGGCGAGGAAGCCGCCAAAAGACCAGCCCCATATGCCTACCTTGTGCGGATTCAGGAATTCGTTGCGCGAGACGAGCTCTTGCGCCGCCCAAATCTGGTCTTGGGCTTCCAAGTTGCCGACGTACTTGACGACGGATGATCGGAAACTTCGACCCTTGTAGCCTGTGCCGCGGTTGTCGATGGTGTACACGACGTACTGGAGCTCGGGTTCAGATGCAATGTAGGCTGACCAGTCGAGGGGTTGGAACCGCTTGGTGACAGATTGGGAGGTCGGGCCGCCGTACGGTGTGAATAGGACGGGGTATTTCTTGGTCGGGTCAAAGTTGGGTGGTAGCTGCTGCTTTACATTCAAGGAGAAGCCGTCTGGGTGCTGGAGCTCGAAATAGGTGACGTTGGGAAGATTGTATTCACTGATTAATTTGTAGAACTCGTCGTTTGAAGTGAGCGTTCGCAGCGGTGCATCCGTGTTGTTGGAGGCGTATAATTCCTGATAGGGAACATCGGGCCCGTTATAAGACAGTATATAGTATTTGCCTTGGGGTGAGAAGGATGCGCTCCAGACGGCTGGTACTGTGTCATTGACAAGAGGAGTAATCTCCAGCGTGGTGTACGAAACACTGTAAATGTGTCTCTCTGTGCTGTGGTGTTTTGTTGACTCAAAGTAGATGAGTTTCTTGGATGTATCCACGGTCAAAATGGTGCTGACTTCCCAATCACCAGAGGTTAATTGCACAGGGTCGCCCCCATTCACGGGGAAGAGGTAGATATGTGTCCAACCCGAGTCGTCGGATAGGTCGATGTAGTAATTGTTGCCTGAATCTTGCGCCTCTCCCACGTATGAGATGGCCATATGATTATCTAGCCAGCCGTCTGTTCCATCGCGCTCTCGGATGGTCTTGCTGGCCATTGTTTGGACGTCGACTAGTACGTGTTTGTCCCGGTCCTGTACACGGTTAAACGCACGATAGATGAGCGCCGAATGCTTGTCGGTAACCCACTTGACCTCACCGACAATGGTATCGTTCTTAGAAAAGGCATCAATTGGTACATTCACAAGTTTTTTAGTTTCGACATCCACAATATTCAGCTCAACAGTCGGGTTTGTTGTTCCGGCTTTGGGATATCGCAGTTCCAGCTCCTGGGGATAAGACGGTGCCTTCTCTTGCCCCGCCATGTAGTAAGGAATGGTGAAGGTTCCCACGCCCGTATCGTTGAAGCTCAAAAAAGCAATGAACTTGGCGTCGGGAGAGTACCAGAGGGCCAAACGATTGCCGAAAACATCTTCCTCATACACCCAGTCTGGCACACCGTTGAATACGTCTGCACTTCCGTTGTCGGTGATTCGGTGAATTTGGCCATGTTCGTCGCGGAGGTATACGTCGTTGCCGCGCACGAAAGCTATCGTCTCTCCGGCTGGAGCCATTGTCGCGTACTGGATATCACCGACCTGGTCGTCAATAATGGGTGTGTTGTTGCCGGACTTGACATCGACTACAAAGTAGTCGGCCAAGTACGAGTGTCGGTATTGCTTTGTGAAATTGGCAGCAGCCAGGACAGCCCGGCGATCATGGCGGATCCAAAAGGCATGGAGGTTTTTGGGTTTACTCTCGGCGGGCAAAAACGTGGTTTCTTTCTCAGAAACAATGTCCACCAAGACCAGGTCGGAATTTTCATTGGTGGTGATGTACTGGCCGTCGTCAACGGAACTCACCCAGCGCACCGACATGCGGGATGGATTATGTCTGGCATAAGGCGTTGTTTCGTTGTAAGTTAGAAGACGATCACCGTTTCCAGTTGGCTGTTGGGGTTTTCGAGGTGGATTGATGGCTAGACCGACGACGGCAAGGAGCGGCAAAACGCCTACCAGCTTTCTGAAAGAGATGATCCCCATGATGAAGTTATGCTACAAAGGATATGGGAGCCTGGAAGTCTCGGGCGCCCAACTAGACCTTGCTCGGTAGCGGTTCTGCTGGATGAGCAATCGTCACGACTTAGCACACCAGGACGGAGGAAGTATCAGGAACTGGTGGGAGGAGAGGGTGGCGTATTTGAACCAGACTCTTGTGGAATTCCGTATTCTCGTTCTTTTGGCTGTTACGCAGCGAGCCGTTGCGTAATCCGAAATTGATTGGACTTGGCAGAGGTGTGACCTTCCGAAATTGGCAAGAGACAAGACTATTAATCTGATCAAGCAGGGATCTGTACACTCTGCCATAAAATAAGGCCTGGCCTAATTTGAACAAGAACAGCGTTGCGACTTCCGCGGACCTCGATGCCAAGCTCTCCAGCATGTTATTGTTAACAAACACGGAAGATGACGACATTTTTGCAAATTCGCGGGTAAAGCGACCCTCAGTGCTTCAGAGATCCCTGTCCTGCCAAGTGGCCAAGGCACCCCGATCCCACGCACTCGAGGCTTTCCGTTTCTCCAACGGCTCGAAAATTGACGCGTTAAACATCAGATGGTAGAGGTCCCACTGCAATTTCCTTTGTTTAACCTACTTCAACATTCCTACGAATGAGACGGCGTTCGGCGTATGCATTACCACACTGTCTAGCTTTCATTATCTGGTCTTGCTCTCGGCTCTTTGCCATCAATGATTGGTCGATTGCACTAATGCACCGGACAGCAACACTAACCTACCCCGTACATCGTGGGTAGTCGCAGCCACTCTCGGACAGTTGTCTCATATTTTTGTTTCGCTCTCACTCTTCCATCACCTAAAGTAATTTACCAATAAACGATACAGCACATGCTAGCAGTTGCGTGTGGAAGTCGTGTGGTTCCAGTCTCAACTGCCAGAGGATATACAGCAAACGGAAAGTGAAGGAGGTTTTGGTCCGAGTATTGATTCCTCGCCCGCGTTCATCACAGCGTTCATTGACCGCCGCCCGGTTCGAGGGTACCAGATTAGTTTGGCCTGGATATTGATTTGCCATTGTAGAACTTGAACGCCTCTGCATTTGCATTACTATATAGGGAAACCTAGTCACACCAGGACAAAACCTATACGAGGCACAACTACTCTTCTTGCTCAAAGCCACTCGTCGACCCGCTCCTCATTCAGTGCATCAGCTCTGTTGATCCCAGAGCAATACACAGACCCAACTTCATCACCAATGCCAATTAGATGCAAGTCGGGAATAGTCTCCCGAATTCCCGCATAGATCACGGGGGGCATGCAGACGCGGTTTCTAAGACATGCTGTTAGCTATAGCTGCAACAGAATTATTATATAGCGACATCTTCACTTACCTAAAAACGCTGCAGCTTACCCCTGAACGGGAGAATCTTACGGAGGAGACCTTTCGGTCTCTTTTTTGACAGTTAGCTATGAACTTGCCTGTTTGATAAGTCTATCTGCTTACAGTGTTTGTGGAACAGGCCAGCAGCGGTTGATCGACGGGATCGTGTAATGGTGGCCGGAAAAGTGGATGTGCTCGTAAAGTGTAACCTAGAAATAACATGAAATTAATCTCATCGATCAATTAGGTAGAGGGGATTTGCTTACCCCAGTATCTTCTGCAGCCTCGAACGGGAACGCAGAGACGACCGTCGCCATTACGGCGGTAAGCAGAGCCCAAAAATGCATGGTGAAAGATGTTCTAGGGGTGTTTTCAAGGTTGGAACTAGATGCGAGTTGATGAAGGGTGAAATTGCAATTTCTATCGGGCGACAAAGCCTGTATTTATATTTCCGTAGGTACGCAGTGGTTTGTCTCTGTTTATCATTCTCTTACCCATTTTGTTACACTACGCTGTTGACAGTAGCAACCGTGTAACCCGTTTCCCGCTTTGGATGCATCTCGGCCCGGATATTCGGGAAACTCAGCGCCAGAAGTTAAGACTTGTGCCACGCACCACTTTTTAAGGCTCGAATTCGCACCCAGCCAAAAAAAGCACTTTTCACTGCGACAGGCACATTGAATTTACCAGCGTTTACCTTGGACGTCTGTGTAGCCGAAATGATTTGTTTGCTTCGGTGACAACTTGAGGGCGTACTGGAGGCTGAAGGTTTATTTGCTAAGCCGTTTGAAGGCGCTCAGCCAGCCACAGTTCCCAAGCCCTGTCCATCGTTCCACAAACAGGTTATTGATACGTTTTCTAGCCTTCTTGATGAGCAAAGCAATTCAAAGCTGGTATTTATTTGTAATTGCGAAAAGCTTTTTGCACAACGTAGGGTGGATATTCGGGCTTGACGGACTCGGGCACCAAACACAATGACTACGGCAGATGCAAACTATATGTACCTTTATGGTCTCAGCAGGATGTATAGCCTGTGACCGGACCAAGCTACAATGCCGCCGGGCCTTGGGCTGGTGTCTTTGACTGACATGCATGATTCAATCTGCTGGTCAACAGCGTAGTTTTCATGTGCAAATTCCTGTTACATCCACGCTTCAGCGTCTTAAATTCTCGGTCGGGGTACTTCCTCTTGCCGTGATCAAATAATAAACACCCATTTTTTGGCATATCGCTCTTCCGAACGGCTAAACCGAGCCGTGTCTCACATATCGCAATAGGATTGGCTGACCAAGCTGACTTGACGCCATATTTTTCATCGGCAGTGATGATCTGCATCGCAGGAGCTTATTGACGAAATCGAGCCTACCAGACCTATTCCGCTTTATGCGGGGACAGTACACTTTTACTTTTAACAGTGAACGAGGCTCTCATTTAAACATTGGCTTTCGTTTTACGTTTCCGTTGGTCCGCTCAACTGTTGGCGAATCCGCTTGTTTGAGTTGGCAGGCAAGGCTGGCAGCCACTTCGATTCAAGGTTGGGAATGGAAAAGCCACTCCGACCATGTGATTTTCCGGCCGTTTTAAACGCTTGACTAGCCCGGCGTCATACCTGGTCGACGGACAAAGTGGCAGTTTTAAACTCCATCTAGAGCCTTCATCGGATCTGTCACCTAAAGAAACTTTGATGGCATAACTTTCGCCAATGCGCCAGAAAGCCAATTTCGTCAGCCCCTCGAAGAGGCTATCGCGCCAGGTAGGCACAGTGAATGCCACAAGAAGAAGCATCCAGTTGCCCACAGGGGCTACCGAACCTTGCCAAAGTCAATTGCGCGCCCAAGGCGAAGTTTATAAATTCCAACGCCTTAGTAGCAAAGAGGACTCTGTCATTGTCTACGTCCAGCGCGCTGAGCGGAATCGGCCCAGTAACGTCAATTATGAACCAGATTAACTATTCCGTGTCAGCCTCCTCTCTACCATTGTAAATCTAGGCTAATACCAATTTTTACTGAAACGAGAGCAGAGAAAGAGTTGCGTTGCCACCATCCGCTGTCCTTGGTCAGCTGGGGAGTTTCCTGTTTGGAGACAGTACATGTTTGCTGGCCAAGGCAATCAGCGAGTTGGTTGGTGTGGTTACGGCAAGTATTTTGCCAGCACTATTGATTCGTCGAGCCGCACTCATTCATGCGCAAGTACTACTAACTACATGAGAAATCCCATCACTGAAGCCGGTTGACACGTTTGAAGGAACGGCGTAGCATGTACCCACTGATGCTTATTCATTTGATGCTATTGTGTCTTTGATTCCCATACACGGCGTATGTCCGCGAGTGGTGTAGAAATGTATTGGAAATAATCGACACCTCTTTATATCCCCTTATCACAGGGTGATAATACCGGGAAATCGGCGGTGGTAGGATTTCGACTTGAGAAGTTAGAAGTTGAAGTGATCGAGGAGATTGCTCTCAGACGTCAGCTTGATACAGTTGACCGTCTCATGCGCAGAGGCATCACGTTACCAAGCATGGGCTGCTTGTGCTAGGAGCAATGCACACATAGTAGGCGTCCGATAGTGTGCTGACTTGTGCCTAGAGTTCCTAAAATAGCTCATAGCAGGCTAAATAAATCCTGCAGCATTGTGAAATTGTACATACGTGTTTCTCCACATGAACAAGTCAAGGCGCAGCAGAGACTGAGGTTCGATCTTAACCATTGACATGGTCATCACATGCGCTTGTGCCTGCTGCTTATGTTTTTGCAGCTTTAAACAAGGGCACTGGAGATGTGCAGGGAATAGCAGTGGATGTTAGTGCTTAGTTGGGAAAGATGTGCGCGTTTTGCTCATTAAGGCTTGCGGCTGAGGCGGCTGAATATGTTGCTCTTCTAGGATGAACCAATCGTTCTCAGAGATGAGGAAGAGCAGGGCCTCTTATGATGACATTTACAGGGTTCTTGTATTCTTCAGCCAAGTATAGCATCTAATTTTAGATTTCAAGGTCATATGCTTGCTGAACGTCGCGTATTTAAGCTCGTCAACTCCACGATGCCCTTCTCCTCCATCTTCACTCGCGAAAGAGAAGCACGAGCTACCTGAAACGTCTCAAGCACTTTTACATCTTTATTGGCCTCAAAAAAAAACGAATCTCAGAATGAAGGTCTCCGGTCTTTTCGCCGTTTTCGCTACCGCACTGGCCGCTGGTGCCGTAGCCGTGCCAGATTCCACGCTCGACGAGCGTGCCACCGTCAAATTCAACGCCGCCGAGGCTGCTGCCCTGAGGGCCCAAACACAAAGCACAATCAGCCAGCTCCGGAACCTTCAGAGAAGCTACGATAGCCGTGTCAGATCCACCGTCGACGGCTGGAGCGGCTCCGCCCGCGCCGCGATCCAACAGGATGTGCAGTCGTTCGATACGGCGATTGCCAAGGCAAACCAGGAACTTGAGCAGATTGTTGCTACGCTGAACAGGCTCCTCTAAACTTGGAATATCGAGGGGATCGCCGAGGCCATAAATTACCTGCGTTGGGGCTGAGCGTGAATTGCGGCATTTGGGCAGTCGAGCAACCTGCATGTTGGCTCTAGGGTGTGGACAAACGCTCCAGTGTATTTACCTGCATGTAGTATTGATTCAATTCAACCATGTATATTTTCCTTTGAATGACCCCGATGTTAAAGCTTCTGATATAATTACTCACACGTTCGCCAAAGTCGCCGAGCAGCTGAGGGAGTTCAAAGCGGAGATCCTGCCAATGGTATCAAATGCCATGTCTTACGGAGATGTCCCCGTCTTCCGGCTTGACCCCGTACGACATGATAAAGACATAATCACCAATGCTCCGAAAGTGTCTTTGTTCCGCGTAACATCCGGGAAGATTAGGTGAGTCGCACGCCCCAGTTCCGCCACTATCACACACATCACGCTCGACGACTCTATCCAGCTTGTCACGACTCAGCAATCATAGTGCAACATGAGAACTGATCTCCTCGGCGCCACGGAGCGCCGATTTCGCGGCTGAGTCTTGCACATCAATCATCCCCAACACCAGCATCGGCATCCGCGTTCGTCCGTGGGGGTCGTTCGGTTGCCGGTGGGGGTAAAAGCAAAGGCCGCGCCTTCCTTGACTGACCTTGATTTATTGACAGCACATGACATTATGCGGCGTGGCGTCTCCTGAGGTTTCCCCAATATCAATCAATCCTTCACTTTGCATGCCCCGACATCAACCGTGAACACCAGTCGACGTCTCGGCGGCTTCTCACAACCATGGCCGAGCCCTACAACACGCCCGTACCGGGCTCAACACCCCGCTCGGGATCGCCTGTCCCCCATCCGCTTCGCCACCCGACGCTGCTCAGCACCGCTGCAACATGCACACCCAAGCCGCGGGTCCTGCATCTCGGCGACCCGATTCGCTTCAATCCAGATACACACGACATCTTGTCATCGCAGTATGAAGTCGTTCGGCCGTCGGCGGCAGAGCGCGAGCGAGCGCCCTTTATCCAGAACCTGAGAGACGGGAAATGGGGCAGCTTCCAGGCCATTTTCCGGCCGTTTTGGCGGACAGGCGGTGAGATGGGTCAGTGGGACGGGGAGTTGATCGCCCTGCTGCCGGAGAGCGTGAGGGTATTTGCGAGCGCGGGCACGGGATATGACTGGGTCGACACCAAGTTGCTGGGCGAACGAGGCGAGTGGCATCTGCATGCATGCATGCACACGAGGGGGAGCGCTACTGACGCTTCGCAGGCATCGTCTACTGCAATGGAGGAACCGCCTCGGCCGACGCAGTGGCCGACTTGGCCGTCGCCATGATCATCTCCACGTTCCGCTATATACCCTGGTGCATGGGGGCCGCGACGGCCGCTTCGCCGTCTGCGTTCGCAGACTGCCACCTCAACTCACCCGCTCAATGCCATAACCTGCGAGACCGCATTCTTGGCGTCGTCGGCCTGGGAAATATCGGCCAGCGCGTAGCTACGAGGTGCCGCCTCGGATTCGCCATGGAGATTCACTACTTTGACATTGAGCGCAAGTCTGCCACGGTCGAGGGCGCCGTTTCCGCCAGGTTTCACGCGTCGTTGGAGTCGTTGCTCGAAACTGCTGACTGTGTCGTATTGTGCACACCTGTTGGATTCGGTGGCGAGACAATGATTAATGCGTCCACGTTGAAGCATTTCCGCCAAGGTGGGAGGTTTGTCAATGTCTCGAGAGGGGCGTTGGTCAACGAAGATGACTTGGTGGCCGCGCTGGAGTCGCAGCGGCTCAGCTCCGTAGCGTTGGACGTGCATGCCAATGAACCACATGTTCACGAGGGACTGAGGAAGCTTGCCGCAGAGGGCAGAGCGATGCTGACCTGCCATAATGGCGGCGGAACGGTAGAGACGCATGCGGCATTCGAGGAGTTGAGTATGCGCAACGTCTTGGCCGTCCTGGGTGGCGGCCCGGCCTTGTCTGCTGTTAATTTGGGCCACTTGAAGAAATGAATCAAATGACTTCTATACAAGTACAATAAGGTACATTGCTAGTATATAATACAACCCGTTCCAACTCCTCGCAAACCCATTACGTTCATCATATCCAACGTCCAGTCATTCAATCGATCAGTCTCCAGCCTTGGGCTTCTTTCTTACCAATCCAGATGTTAAAACATTAACTTGAGGCGCGTCATCCTCCGCCTTGGCCTTCTTCTTTACGAGCCCTGCCCCAAGAACATTCACTGCCCCTCCGTCCGTCGTATCTGCCCTCTTCCTCTTAACTAGCCCCGATAGATCTCTTGCCTCGCCCTCACCGTCCCCTGCAGCAAGAGTTGGCGGATCCTGCGCACCCACCACTGTCTGTCCCCAGTCACTGCCGAAACCAACCTCACTCGTCCATCGCCGAGAGCTAGCGACGGCCTTGTCTACGCTGGAAAAGTCCAAACGCAGCATCATTTCTACAGCGCGCTTGTACGAGGATTCATTGATGATGCGGGATCCCCGGCCTTGCACAGGCCAGTAGTAATACGGGCTTCGAATCGGCGTCTTGAGAAGATAATTTCTTTGTCCCGTCTTGGCCCGTGGCTGGCGGGGTTGGATGGGTCCTTTCAACTTGGACTTTTTCCGTTGTGATTTGCTTCTGGCATACTTTTCGAATTTGTTTGCCCTGGGAGGGAAAAGTCTGCCGGTATTGGGGGACGGCGCCCGAGGCATTGCGGACTCGGGCTCGCCCTGTACGGCCCCGGCGGGCGCTTCGTTGTCAAAGACGACCCAGATGAAGCCCGTCATCCTACCGCTCGAGCATTCCTGTCTAAAGGCCATCATGTCCCAAAACACGTCTAGTGTCTTGACCGTCTTCCAGCTGCCGGCGGCCTTCATGGCGCCAGACTGGCCGGCCTCTTCGTCTAGCTCGTCGCGGAAGCGGGACTTGGGGTCATCTGGAAACCGGGGGATGAGGCACCGCGGCGGCACCCAGTCGTATTCTCGGGTGTAATGGGATATTCGTTCGAGGGGGTGCGTGAGGGCCCATGATGATGCGGCCGCTGCGGTGCGAGGGACAAAGGCGCGCGTCTCGTGGGTGTCTAGGCCGGGAATGATCAGGTAGCCTTTTGCATTCTTCCACGTGGTGCCTTTGTCTGGGGGGGATGTGATGAGCGGATCGAGCACGCGGCACCACCACCTCACTAGTGCCCGGTCGTCGAGTACGTGCTTGGCTTCGTGGTCGATGCTCCCTGGGAAAAGGTATTGGCCTTGCGATCTTGCGAAGAGGCTGACGATGAAGGGAATGCCTTGGCGTCTCCGCGCAGCGACGAGGTGCTCGATGAATGTGGCGCACACTCCGCGGATGGGACTCGGTGTTCCCTTGGGCAGGTTCAACAAGGGCAGGTAGCCGGTGGAATCGGCTTTGGAAACAAACAGCGTCGTTGAATGGGCTGTCGTGTAGATGAAGATCTCGATGCCAAACACGATGACCTGTTTGTTGGGCTCTGTACCATTTTGTGACGGCTCGCCACTATGCGGGATGTCGATTGACACGGTGAGGAAGTGGTTCTCGCAGTAGGTTCGATCGGGTCGTCGGTTGGGCGGTGCAGAGTAGATGGCATCCGTCTTCCAAGGGGGGGTTGAGACGTGGTGGACAACGAAGGGGATGTCCTTGGGCAGCACAGGGCGTAGACGGTTTATTAGGTTGGTGTCGCAGCCTGTTAGCTCTATCAGAGTCGTCATATTTGGAAGCCGCAATGAATTGGCGGTGGGAGCAGAATTGGCTGGTTAAATGGGCTGAGTTGGAGGACGCGAAGCGCGTTTGGATGTGACGAAAGTCGTCTGGAGGTGGAGACATCTGCTGGTGCACAGACCATGTGTTTCAATCAATCAAGTCAATTGTACCACCAGGGAGACGCCGTTATAACGGCCAGGCGCTAGAATGCGGGGAATGGGGCCCTGACAGATGTCTGGTCAGTCTGGTCAATTTTCTATCGAATCGTAGGGTTAGGGTTAGATGTTCATGTTCACAGGCAGCAGATCCGACCATGGCCAAACACCCTCGTATGCCAACGTATGCCCGAAAGCTTTCGCAAAGATTGGCACTTAATAATCTACTCGTGACTATTGTCCTAACTTCAAATGTATAACATGGGCTTTAAAGGCTGCGATTGTGGGCATGGGACTGAACCATACTCTTCAACTCAACTCATAGCATCACCTCTCATTACTCAGTATGGAAGCGTGACCAGTCGTTGAGCGCTTCACTGCATTCCAAAGCCCAAGCTTTCACTCCGCCAAACCATATCAGCGGTTCCTGTCTCTTGCCAGGGATATTCGACCCAACCCACCAGGAGGGCCATTTGCTACAGAGTGAAAGATCAAAGGTGGATCGCAGTTTTCGGTACCAATCGTCTGCTTCCGATTCGGTGGGCTCTACACTTGCAATGTTGTCCTTTTCCATCTTGTCTAATAACTTGTTAATCCACTCCACTTGCATTTCAACAAAGGGTGGCGCCGTCGTCAGTGAAGTTGGTGCTTGCGGGCCGTACAAAATAAAGGCGTTGGGCATGCCTGGGACCATCATACCAAGGCTTGTGCGAACGCCGTTTGTCCACTTCTCTTGTAACGTCTTGCCATGCTTGTCGGTAATATTCATGTCGTATAAGCTCCCGGTGAGAGAATCGTACCCCGTAGCCATAATGACAACATCAAGCTCGTGCAACGTTTTGCTTGCAGCCTCTTCGATATCTGATGTCACTATGCCGTTGGCAGTGAACTCTTTGATTGGGGTTTTGAGAAGGTTGACGAGGGTGACATTCGGTCCATCCATGAGCTCGTAGTAGTTCTCCTCGGTCAGCCATCTCTTCGTGCCCGGGGGCTGCACCATCCGCAGGGGGGCCAAGATATTCTTCTTGACTTCATCCGCCATTCTGATCCGATTCTTGTCCACCCAAAACTCATAGAAAGCCCTGTTCGCCCCCACGTCTGTCGTCACATCAACGTAGTTGCATGCAAAGATGCCTACGCCTCCATGCTTCCACAACTTTTCCATAAGGGCTTGATTCTGGGCTGGCGATTCATCACGGAGAGACTTGGGGTACGGAATGTAGGGATACCCTGCTTCGTCGCCGTATTTGCTTCCGGCGGGGTTGGACTCGTGTTGGGTCTTGAGTTCTTTGTTCTCTGCTTCCGTGATTCGACGATTCTTCAGGGGAACTGCCACCGGGGGCGTTCGAACAAAAACTGTGACATCATGTCCTTGGCCAGCTAGTTTCTCAAATACTTGTACACCTGATGCACCTTGGCCGATGACTCCAATCCTCTTTCCATCCAAGTCGAGTTGCTCTGGCCAAGACGACGGCTGAATTATGCGCCCCTGAAAAGTGTTCAAGTTGGGAAACTCGGGAACATGGGCTTTGATGGTTGTTCCGACTGCGAAAATAACAAACCTCGCAGTGGCAGTTAATCCATTGTTTGTGGTGAGCCGCCATAGTTTGGTTTTGTCGTCGTAGTTGGCTCCTGTAACCCTTTGATTGAAAATGGTGTCTTCTCGAAGGTTCCATCTTTCATCAATATGATTAAAGTAGTTGCGTAGATCGTCCCCCGTTGGATAGAAGTCGTCGAAAGAAAAGTCCCGGAATATCTCTGGACTTGTAAGCTGGTAGGATGGTACTTCGCAATCGACTCGAACTCCAGGATACCGATTCAAATTCCAAACCCCACCGAAATCACACTGTGCCTCGATTATCTTGGCAGAAAAGCCCCGGATCCTCATGTGATGCAGGGATAGGCATCCCGAAAACCCGGCACCGACAATGACAACGTCCGCCGTGATGTCTCTCATTGTGGAAATGGGCGGTGAGTGAATGGAAAAGCACTCCTAGCAACATCAAATCTCCTTGAACCTCCGTTCCATTGTAGTCTACTTATTCTCCGAAGAACCAGACAAACCCCGCGTTTTCAGATATTGTACCACTGCTGAACTTGATCACCTGGTGCAGTCGGTGTGTAGTATCGTGTTGTACGAGTCATCCAATACAATCATCTGTGAAGCGATAGACCGACGCATAGCAACTCCCTCTTGCATTAGCGTGTAAGCCTGCATGATCGCATACTTGTACCTATGGTAACTGAATGGCTGGCTTATTCGCCGTCCGCATCTGGCTTACATGTACCCGTCTTCTCCCATCGGCCGCATGACATTTGCGGAGAATTTAAAGCGAGTCGCGATTGGTACCGAATAGCCGGTCGAAGTGGGGCGCTGTAAAAGGGCCTGGTCCTTGACCAGACAGTTTAGCAGCTACAAGGGTACTTGAAGCAGCTATGTATATGTGTCTACATAAAGCATTGCATGCCAGGCATGGCTTTATTCCCGTGGGGCACGTTTATGCGCCGACTGAAAAACTATAAAAGCCCCCAGGTGCCAGCCTTCATGTTGTCCGGGATCCCTCTTAAAAAGCCCAAGCCCAGATACACTATACACTTACACTTACACATACGTATGCACAACAAACCTACATCACCAGCTAGCGACATGCCCGAGTCGGTGCTGTCTATTCTTTGCAGCGAGCCCTGGCGCTGGGACTCGTTCGCCTCCAGCGAAATTACCTTTAATCAAGACGGGACCGGAAAGGTTATTCCAATCGTCCATTTCCTTTTATACCCGCCCCATCAACTCTTACCTGCTACTAACCATCATGTTCAGCTAACATGCCGTGCCGGGTTCAACGCATGGATTGCCGCCGAGATTGAGTGGAAGGCACGGCACGCCGAGTCTCTACAAGAACAAATCACCATGAGCCGACACGACTCTTGCCTTGTTGATCGTCTTGAAATCGAGCTGACGCTTACAAAACGCCGTCCTGGAGGCCCCGACATGTCCAGACACAGAATCAACGAAGACGCTCTGAAAGAGGGAGCCTTCCTGCCAAAAACGTATACACTTTGCCTTGAAAAGGGCGAGTTTCACGCACAGTCGTATGTGCCAGAACAAGGACAGTCGCCACGGCAGACGCCGAAATTCCAACTTCGTCTGACTTTTGATCCATCGCCCTATCCCCCGCGGCAAGAATGGGTGCGGCCGCACCGAGGACCGGATTCCATGAAGTTTTGGGAATGGACGCAGTTTTGTAGCAGACACATTGGCTTCTTTTAGACTTGACTTGGTGAGCTTTCGATTTGGGGGGCACTTTTGTCTTGAGTTATTTGTCTACAGCAGAGAGAAATATATATATACAAGTCCCTGGTGTTGCAATATTCAAAACTCGTTACCACGTGTGACGCCGTGTGTAAACCCGTAATAGGGAATAACACCATGTATAGATATCATGACTGCCAACGCTCCTCCTTTTCCCACCGCCAATGGAGATGGACTTGAATTGACCTCTATGAATAACCCTATTGCAGTACTGCATTAGCCCTTTGACGATCCAACACCTGGCCTTGTAATTTGTAATTTGAAGCATCATGACCCCGCAGCACAATATAACTGATAACAATCTACTTCAAACAAGTACATTTTGTTCAGTCTTGGGATGCCAACAGGGCCCAATGCTTTCTCAAAGAACTGTTACACGCAACCAACTTCACTATTTGTCACCACCGGATAGTTTCAAGGCCTCGAGCTCCTGAGACGATTTATAAACCACCTGGCTCTGCCTCAGAGACTTGACCAATCGCTGCTTCCAAGCCTCCTAGTTACCGCCTGCCTTGGCTCCATTTCCCACCTCCTGCTGAGCCTGCGTAAAAGCCTCCTCGAGCGAGTCCCTGATGGCCTGTTGCGCAACGAGAGCCAAGGCCGCGACCCTCCATCGCTTCACTTCGGGTGTCTCGTCCTGGGCTTGTGCCCGCTTCCGCGCGAGAACCGGGATCTGGACATTGCCAATCGACGTGGGAGGGCGCAGCGTTTCTGCTGCCACGGTGATGGCATCGTTGGTGACCTCGGGCAACAACTCCTGGAGCACCGCCGCCACCTCGGCGTCGGAGACTTGAAGGGACACTGGCGCCGAGAAGATGGTGATGCCACCGACGGTGAATGAACCGCCCGTGGCAATAGCCTCGGCTGCAAGGGTCAAGCCGCCTGCGCCCACGATGGTCACTACTGTCGATGCGATGCCTCCCAAGACCTTGCCGACCCAGTTGCTGCCGCTGGTCGTCGCCACCTGGTCGGCTACCTTTGTTCTCTCCTCGATGATCTTTTTCTCATCCGCCTTGTCTTGTTCCTTTTCCTTGTTGCTATTGTTCTTGTCTTGTTCCTTGTTTCCATTGTTCTGGTCTTGTCCGTTATTGCTGTTATCCTCGCCTTTGTCCTTATCTTTGTCCTTGTCCTGATCCTTGTCCTTGTCTTGCTTGTCCTTTTCACCGGGGTTTGCTTCGGCGTTGGGCCGCAGCTTTTCAAGCTGCGCGTCCACCTGGCTCTGAATATCTGCCAACTTGGCCGCACTCTTTTCCAGAACCGGGACTTCCAAAGCGATAGCCTCTGTCTCTAGGGCCTCAAGGTCCGCAACGTCATCTTCGCTGATATCCCCCAGATTCAGGGGGGACGTATTGAACTCGTTCGACTTCAATGCCGTCTTGGCGTCGAGATCCTTCTGAACCTTGGCGACCACTTGCCTGATCTTTTCGCCAAGGCTCTCTGCCTCGGTCAGGACATCATTGGGGCTTGCTGGCGTTTTCGCAACCTCGTCAAACCTGGCTTTGTACCCCTCCACCAGCTTTTCGTCTACCTTCAAAACCACCGACTTGAAGTTTGCTCTCACCTGGTTGAAGAGCTTAAAAACGTCCCTGTTCTGATAAATAGCCATCCATTCATTATACTTGATAGTATACTCCACAACCTGCTGAGCAATGTCTTGCAGGCCCTTGACAGCAGCCTTGGCTCTTGTGCTGGCAGCTTCCGCGGCTTGGACGGACGCAGCCGCCTCGGCCTCTGCAACGGCGGCTTCGGAATCCTTGAGAAATTTCTCTGCCGGCACCTTGACTTCGTGAACCTCAATTTCAGCCTGCTCATATTTGTCTCCATGTATGTTGGTCCAGGAGCTGTAGTCAACTTTGTGCTTAGGCAGGTCTGGTTTTTTGTTGGCATCCTGGCACTTGACCTCAAGACTCAAGCCTCCACCATTCTCGTTGAGCAACTGATTGGGAATCAGCATTTGGAGCCTATCTGGTTCATCCCCATCGATAACAGATATTCGTATGGTCTTGGTAGGGTCCAACTTGAGGGTGTCTTGGACATAGGCGTCGGCGACGCCGCCTTCCGGTTCCCCCCACCAGTGTGACCTAGGAACCCAGGCTTTGTCCAACTTGTTAAAGGCGTCAATATCGGCCAAGATAACACAGTCCCTATGAAACAGTACCGTGGTTAGGCCATGCTCGTGGGGCAAAAAGGGAGGGAATCAGAAAAAGCACCAACGTATCACCTGGATTGCCTTCCCATTTACCCTGTTCATTAATGGTATACACGCCCTTGCCGATTTGAGCACCACCGCTGTTATCGCTGGGCGTGAGTGTGTCCCCCGCCGTTTTGTATATCTCGGCTTCCATCTATAATCAAGCAATGTTAAAACCTGACATTACAGTACAATGTAGTGTTTAGAAATTACATACTGGATTCACGCGCCTAAAGCCAATTATTTCCTGAATTCGCTTCTGCAGGTGGATAGCGTCACGAGGCTCATATAGATGTCGGATAAGGCTGCCTCTGTTAGTTGAACAAGCAAACTTGACGTAATTGCTAGATGTCATAAAATCATCGATATCAGTAGTTTGAGAGGCTGGCCAGCCACCCTGATCAAATCAGGTGGCTGGGAAGTCTTCTAAACTAAAGATAAAAGACATGAACCCTTCTGAAGGATAGGAAAAACAAAAATAATTTTTATATTCAAGAAATAAGCTTAGTTAACAATGAGTCTCATAACGTGACAATAGAACGAGCGCCTCGTCCTTTGTGTCTGTGCCGGTAGGAAAACCGAGGCCGTTCCCAATAAGGGTCAAGGCAATGAGTGATGAAAATATCTTGTGAATGGCCATGATACCGTGAGTGACTAGCCCTTGGGTTCAACTCAAAGATGAAGAAAAGACTGAAAAACTTGGTACCAAGAAATAATGGATAATACACCAAAGTGAGATAACTTGAATTGGGCAAAACGGCCATCAGCGAGGTATTTATAGCAAGCTTTGCCCGTGGGTATGATGTGTTCGGGGCGGAGAGTGTCATTCTGCCAACTCTGGGTGTGGTTTCGGGACTTGAAGCTGAATACAAATGCCGTGCGCATCCTAGACTTGATTTAGTGCATGAAGGTTGGCGCTGGGATAATTCAGCTGGTGCATAGAAAACTCGCGCATGGTGTGATCGGTATTGGATGATATTCTGGCATAGGGCTGCGGCACTTTCTGAATAGTCTCTGGATCGCAATCAATCATGCCTGTGTCGCATCATACCGCATGTCATGTCGGCATAAACTTTGAAAGGCAGGAACCACAATTTTTAAATTGCATGTAAGCATAAATAACCAGACCCTGATGGTTGTACGATATGCCCGACATTCCGCGATTAGATCACCACTGTTTGAAACTCCACTTACGACCGACCCTTGCCTTGTTTCGCGGTCATGACCGAGCAGTACACAAGGTAATGCATCCAGAGCTAGGCCATCTCATTTAGCATTATGCCAAATTCCCATTATAATACTCAAAACACTAACTATGCCTGCTCGTGCTCCCAAGAGCATGCACTGCCGGGCTAGACGAGCCATCGGTTATAGTGAAAGTCTATTGAATCAATAATTTCGCCCAGGACCTTGTCCATACAGGTGGCTGTGCATTTGACACGACGTAAATCTCTCAATGCATCAATGACTATCATGACATGAATTGCGCAATCGTCCAGCTTCTTCTGCGTCGGACTAGGTCGGAAATAGTATGCAATCGTCATCCAAGGGAGTATATACTTATATATATAAGCCATCGGTCTCCTGGAGAAAAGAGATTTGTCCTAGCAGAACCATTACTTCAATTTTGCCGACTGACTTCCAATATCACATCTTAAGCCCAAAATCCTGTCAAAAATGACTAAGTTATTTAATCTTTTTGCCACGCTCTTGCTCGTGTCGAGTGTCCTTGCTCAAAATGGCAGTGATTCCCCTGTTAGTGAACATGCATGGCCATCTTTTCTAACGCATATGGCACATAGCAAGGCTAACTCGAAATATTATAGTCCAATGGCAAAGAAGGCGATAAGCCAGCCGGTGGGAGTAGTAACAAGGACATTGAAGCTGCATGCTCGGCGCCAGAGTGCTTCGAGGGCAAGAAACTCTCCTACTACATAGCTTACTCTCCAGAATGTACCAAGGACCACCACACGGAAGAGGTCTGCCTGGGATCGGACGCGTGGTGCGGCCACGGCAACAGACCAGAGCTCTACGGATCTAAACAAAAGTGTCTGGAGCTTCGTCCCACGCCGCAGCGTAAAGCCCCGTGGCAACCAGGGGGCAAAGCCGGTTGTACGGACGAGACAGAAGCGTGTCGCGGGACTGAAGTCGTGTGCTCCATTCTACTCAACGAAATCCTCGTTGCCCAGTACATTGAATTCGACATTGATAACTTTAAAAAACTCTGTCTGGAGCAGCGGTCCAAGCAAGGCAATAGCCCGCCCAAGGAAGACAATAGTCCACCCAAGGAGAGCAATAACCCGCCCAAGCAACCTGACAAGCCATTCTTTCAGCTTCCCAACTCGGAGAGCTGCTCCAAGCTCGGCGCAGACGAGGAGCCTTGCCTGGGCACCATTGAATGGTGCGACAAACACGGTCAACATCAGGGCCTGGGCGATAAATATGCATGTCTTCTGAGCCGTGGATTCGACCTCAAGGCATTTGAAGAAACTTTCCAAAAGAGACTGATTGCGCCAGTCAAGGACGGTATTCTAACCTGGGCACAGAATGTTACGAAGAATGCTGCCATCCGGGAGATCCTGCTGAATGCGACGACCGAAACCACTCAAAGGGCCATCACTACCGACTTGTCAGGTTTTATGGATAAGGTCAAGGGTTCTCTGCAGCGTCAGACGCTCGAGGGTGTGCGCAAAGGACTCGAAACGTATGCCGGCCAGAAGCTTTTCTAGGCAGAGAGGCAAGACTAGACCCGAGGAACTTTGTTGGCAAAAAGATTTTGTCTACTATACCTTTTCCAATACATGATGCAAAACAAGCAAGAATGGCGAATCAGTGGTGATCTAATACTTGTGTGTTTTACTGGTGACTTGCCTTGATTCGGGGGTTGGGGTTTGCTTTCTGTACATCTTTAAAGGGGTCCGCATGTGCAGTCAAGTCGAGAATTGCTGTGGCCGTAGCGCAGCATACTTGCTGAAGACCGTGCTAGTATATTAGAAACCCGTATTGCTCCAAGTCAGAGTGCCATGTTTTCGAATGGCAATTGATACGCGGGCATGACACCTTTACTACACGGGCTGTCGTAATAGGTTACTTGTAACTCAGACACATGAAGCAGCATCCGGACATCGCAGTTTACAAACAGCCTGAAGGAGTATATCGTCAGTGCTCACTCGACAAAGGCAAGCATCAATCACCTCGGCCGATGAGAATATTGCATTTGTCCTTGAATTCTGACTTCTGCTAGGCGCCGGCAGCGACGCGAGACGCAAAAACATTATCGAGTCCAGAATGGGGGACCCCATGGTCTTTCAAAACCTGATGTTGTTCTTGAGGCACAAGTTCTTTCAGTTATCTGGGTCATTTGAGCAGCGGGTCAAAGACGTGATCAACGGACATGTAGATATTGTTAGCGACACATTTAACATTGTACGAAGCGCGAATACGCTACAAGAAAGTGAGAGGGATCCGCATTTTAGGGAGCTTATTAGGAATTCGGTAACTTGCATCTTGGCTGACCTGATCCAAATGTGCGAAATGGTAAAAGGTTGAAATTGGAGGCGTGTTGGCCAGTTTCCTCCCATGTTCATGCGGTATTTTTGGGGCAGTTAATTTGAAGCTTGCGATCTTTGTTGGAAACCGGTCCAGTCGGCGAGCTTGCGACGTAGAACTCGTACATGAATCGGAGCATCGCCAAGTAATTATTTATATAGAAACTGGACTACTTCTAGATTCAGTTTTCGATTGAGATTTCCCGAGTAGTCGAGTACGCCTTTGTTTGTGGTAGATAAAAACTGGCTAGCAACGTGCCGGAGGGTGTGTCGCATGCCCAGCAATCATCCTTGCTACCTTTCCTGACCCTTCTTCCATTCTAAAATACTCTTTGTATCTAGTTATGGAGTGCCTCTATTGCTAGTTGCTGAGTTTCTCTATGGGTTTTGGCCGCACAGTGGTCGCAGAGAAGAGATGGGTATTTCTTTTAAATAGTGCAATTTGGCAATGGAAGCAGGTCACTATATGCATAGACTACGGGAAGAAGGCGTAGTTGTGAAAGCACAACAAGATGCGTTTTCATTGCGTGGATATCTGGCTCGAACCTTTGAGTGTTTGGGGACCAATACGTACGATGCAAGCATCCCCGGCTGGCTCTCAGGTGGTTTCCTTGATTCAATTTCGTCTCAGATGCCGTTGTTTATTTTCGACTACTCCCTACAGGCTAACCATTTATCTTGACGAGTCCGAATATTCTCCTGATAGAGTGGAACACAAGAGCGGAAATACCCCACGTCAATGGCAGCTATTGCTACAGTCACGCGACGAATACCATTAGTGCGGTCGATTACGGCTAAACATAAATCGCACTGGTCTAGATGCCCATGTAGTGTGGCTATTGACAGGACCGGAGTTGATAGTGGCTGGCACCCTTGAGGTGTACCTCGCCTTCGACCACGGAGACACCAGCATATAAGAGGACATCCATCCGTCACTCTGCTCGCATAAACTGAATGGTATAGCTTGGGCAATTTCTAGCTCCATTTGTTTATGTAAAAGACAGTTGAACCTGCGTCATTCATAACTATACTCCTACTGCAACAAAAAGAGCAATCAACAAACATGGCGTAACACAAAATGATGCGAATTGATAATATAAGACTAAATGCTTCTCATACATCAAAATTTTTGATTGGTGTCATCAAGAGTATTTAAAGCTGGGAGAGTTTGAGAGAAAGTGGAGGATGAATATTTATTGGACTTTGGGTTAAACCTAGTCGCAGTAAGTATAGCGAGATGAGCCCACGATAGTACTTTTTCATAAATAATGACATATGTATATATACTCTGTGGTGCCTCAAGAAAGGTGAGAGAAATATGAAATTGTTTTGCCTAATCTGGCAGTAGCGTGCTTCGGATATTTCAACGATTTTGTCGTATCTGTAGCCATTATTCAACCGGATGCTATGGAGTCCAACCATTGGTAATTGGAAACCCAGACTCGCGATGAATCTTTACAAAGTCTTCAAGTCGCTCATCATGTTCTATGACAAGTAAGCACAATCCCTCAGCAGGACTCATGCGTTTAACACTTGTGATGACCTCTCCTTCCTCGCTGAGAACCGACTTGAGAACTGCGGGAGCATCATCGAGATGTCGCGCGGACTGTAAAATTATTGAGACTACATTGCTGTCCTTGTTGGCAAAGAGGACTCCGATTAAGCAATCAGTTCGAAAGGCTCGGATAGGAATGTCAAGATCGAAGTCCAGTTTGAGGCGGACTGTCCGGACTGTCTGCAGTATTTTCCATGAATCTCCTGTGAAATATTGCGCATTGATATGGGCACACAATTCAATTGTGCTGAACAATTGCAAACCCAGTGAGCCGTTCTCTATGGCTAACTTGCGGTCGTTACATGCTTGCTCCCATCCCTCGGGCGACGGAAACATCGTCTTCAGGTCGACTCCTTCGCTCAAAGCTGCCTTGTAAATAATATCGAAGTGTTGAGGATAGACAAATTGAATGAGGCGTCGACAAAAGGCCACTTCAAGCGTGTATTGTATGTTCTCATTCAAGTCTTCCTTTACCAAATGCATGCTCGATTTTTTTGCAACACCACGTGTGAACTTTCTTTTACTAACAAACGCGTGCTTCTTGTACTTGTTGTACTTCATGTTCTTCTTTGTCTTGTCATGAAAAAACCGGCCGCTCAAAGTTCCAGAACCGCAATCGCCGAGGTCCATTAATCCAATTCGGTACTGTCCGTCTGGGCGCACCTCAAGCTGGAGCAATGGAACCGTATTTGGATGAACATAGCGAAAGCCACTCCAAATTATAAACTTGGTAAGTTGTGCAAGTGCTGGGGTCAGTTTATCTTTATTGAAGGCGTAAGCCATTTCATGACATGATGTATAGCCGAGCGGCAGCCGCTGCTCAACAATCAGATATGTTGTATCAACACGAATCAGACTCTGCCGTGGCACAACCAGGTGACTCAGCTCGTTTTTCATCTGGTCGAAGATTGTGGCCGCTCTTTTGATATCATTCCATCGCCCACGAATAGACTGGTTGAAAACTGGCATGTTGAAGATAACGTGGGATAACTCTGTGATGATGAACCTTCCAGGGGATAAAATATCAACGCCTTCAATTTTAGATCTTTCGTCTCGTAACTTTGGCGCGTGACGCTGTATAAGGTCTTGAAGGAAGTCCTTTGTCTCAGAGCTCAGCTCAACCCCGCCCAGGATATTGTCGTGTATTTTGACGCAGGTTTTGTGAGACTTTGCCATCGTGTCGTATGACCTTTTCGTAAATGCCATTGTTTCTTGGTTCCTCTCCTGTATTGCAAGGTATATTGAGGTTGTTAGATGTATGTTTGACGTACTTAGCGCCGAAGTGTCGACAAAAACACGCTCTAGGTCTTTTCTCTTTCGGCAGTACGCAAACTCAACTTTCAGTTAGCTGGTGGGAAATTCGATGAATACGGTAGGGCGATAGAGTGCACGTTGTTGATGCAACATTTTATACTCACAAGTTGTAAAGATGCGTGGGATATCTGCCGGGAAACCGAACATCAAAGGTAAAGGGCACTAGTCGAGTGAGTTGGAAGGTGTTGAAGATTGCACAGTGGCACCTTTATTCAACTTTCCGCCGGTAATGAGATTGTACGTGGTATACGGGAGGAGGGTTGCGGTTCAGTAGATGAAATTGGTTTAGTTATTATACTATTTTCCGCCAGAGATGACTAATTAGAAGTAGTGATGGTTGTCCGGGAATAGTAGCTCACTTGGGATCTCTTTCACCATCTTTTTCATGACGTATCATGCCGGTAATCACACACTTTTAACAAAGATTGCGGGGTTAGGGGCGCGTGGGCTTTCCAAACCGCCCCTTGTTCTTCTTTGTGCGTTGTGACAAAGCGCAAGCACGGGTCATTTGTTGGCTCGCCCGTGTTTTGTATCCGTAGCAAGAAACAGCCGGTGACAGCCCCAGTAATGCGATACATAATATGACTTTTTTGAAACAGGACGCATGTTTAAGAAAATACGTCATCTATCTGGAAGAAGCGCTCTTGCATGGTGTTGATTCCACACACATACGGGGACCACCTGAATCGGGCAAGCTACTTGGGCCAGTATGCTAAGGGGTCTGGTGGAAACAGCTTGATTGTCTTTAGGAATAGCTCTTTGTGTGAGGTAGCAATCAGTGCGACTAGGACCTGGCTTAGGTTTCGGTTTCGTGGTGTGATCAAAATTCGACTGCGGTGCGTGAATGCCAAGTTTCTTAAACGGGACGGTTCTGGGCTAATTTTGCTGCATTAGGCTTAGCCTCGGCCACTAGCAACAAAGCACTAAGAAAGCACTAGGATGTTGGAGCGCCACAAGCCGGGACCAACGGAGCCAAGCCGTCAAGTGGTCCGGGCCGGTCGTCGGCCGTGAGTGGGGCAAGGGCGCGGCACGGCGGAGAGAATCCAGTCCGGTGGCAGCGCCGTGTAACATTATTGATTAAATCATGACAGTCTCTATAAAGTCATCAAGCCAGAGTCCTTAATCCATGGTGGTTGACCCTACCAGCCGGATAGAGCCTGACCCAGTTGACCCCGAATGGCCAGCCCGAAAACGCACTTGAAAGCAAAGCAAGTGGTCGACCTCCACTGATATGTCTGAAATAGCTCAAGCTGACCGTCCTGCGCCAATTGAGCCTCGACTGGCGCGAGATTGACTGCCCGCATCAACGCGGCTCATTTTGAGTTAATTGCGGGACGGGAATTTACGAACGGTCAATTGCTGTCATTTGCACCCCTGTGTCATGCATGGTCGTACTCAATTTTGTTCCGCCTACTGTGGATGCCACACACATGTTTCCTTTTTCCTCGCAGAAAATCTCGGCGAGTTCCGGAGTCATGATCCATTCACCTTGAAGAACAACATTACCAATGATAGCTTCATTCCGAGTTTGGGGTATAGAACGTTGCCTGTACACTCCTGTATTTCGACACAAGGTAATGTTATTCCTATGACCTGATAGGCCACTGGGTGCGCCACATCACAAGAGCTGAAGCTTACCTGCATAAATCTGACTGATGCTGCCGTCACCGAGAAATGAGGGGTTAGAAAAGCTTTTTGCAAGCAGAGGCCGTAAAGGATACATCTGTATTTCTGCCTCGAGAGCCGTAGCTGAACTGAAGCTTAGTCTCTGACTTTAAACAATCGGATCATTACATCTCGGAATCATGTATTGGAAACACTTCAGCCCCCTCGTCACGGCAGTGTCATTCATGACCGCTCTACTCGTGCCATCGGTGCATGCTGTTGCTTCGCTGCCGTACCCCACACGGTCCAACTACCATATAAAGGGCATACAGCCGGACTTCTGGCCCAACCAGGATGAAATTTCTGGCAATAATGCCGGTGGTGTTTCAATGAACCTGCTCTGGTCGCAATGGGAGCCCCGTGTGAAGCCAAGACCATGCGGTGCTGGCGAACAGGAGTACGATGGGCGATGCTTCCTGATCCAGGCCCAGGTGGACTCAGCAATCAAAGGGTGGACGGACCGAGGCCTGGTGGTTACAGCCATCGTCTATGGCACTCCGCCGTGGGCTCGCGGTAAGCGGCGTTGCTCACCAGCAGCGCCGGGCATGGACATCTTTTGTGTGCCGGACAATCCGGCGGACTTTGGACGATTCGCAGGCATGCTGGCTCAACGCTACAATGGTCTTCGGGGCCACGGCAGGATTGCCGACATGGTCATCGACAACGAGGTCAACACTTATCAATGGTTTAACATAGGCTGCGGCCAAGGAGTTCCATGCAACGCCAATGAATGGCTGGACCTAATAGCAGCAAACTACAATGCGGCATATGACCGCATTGTCGCAGAGCAACCTACCGCCAAGGTGTTGGCTTCACTAGACCATCAATTCGGGAGAGAGTTTGACAATCCCGGCCAAGGTCTTCTGTCAGGAATGACGGTGATTGAGGGCCTCGCAGCTCGTGCCGGGTCTCGCCAGTGGCGCGTTGCCTTCCACGCCTATCCCCCGAACCTGTTCAGTCCTGCCTTCTCTGCGGATGACTATCCGAAAGTAACATTTGGTAACGTTGGCGTGTTGGTTGGGTGGCTGCGCCAACGCTTCCCAAACAATCCCCATGCATGGGTCGTGCAACTGACTGAGAATGGTATCAACTCCGGTAGCCAGTCGAGTGAGGCGAGCCAGGCCGCCGCGCTGTGCCAAAGCTTCCGCAACGTTCTCGGCACACCAGGAATCGAGAGCTACATATACCACCGTATGCAGGACAACCAGGCAGAGGGAGGCCTGATGCTTGGTCTTCGTAGAACGGATAGCTCAATCAAACCCTCATGGACAACGTGGGCACTGGCGAATCGCAACGACATCTCCCCTGCCCAATTATCTTGCGGCTTTGAGAACTTACCCTACGTTGTATTGACCCGAGGCTACAATCCTCAGAGAGGCCACGTCGCGTCGACAAGACAGCTACCCGCAGGATTCCATGCTGAAATGAGCTGGCGCTTGCTGCGTGATCAACGGGGCGGTACTGTCATGTTGTACGAATGCAAGGTTGGAGGGCATTCTATGTTATCTCGGGATCCGGGATGTGAGGGCCAGTTCCCCTGGGGGCCTGTGGGATACATTTACGAGAATCAGGTGGCTGGATCTGTTCCCCTCTACCGCTGCTACATCCATCAAAACGGTGATCATTTCGTATCGCCGAGATCCGACTGCGAGGGACCTTACACCAGAGAGTCCTTGTTGGGCTATGCAATCCAATGATGTAGTAAGCGGACGATTTGTCGGCCAATTGGAAACCGAGATATAACTATTTCTTGTAGTTATAGTGCTTTACATCCACAAGAAGAATATCCAACTAATACGCAGAGTATAAAGCCGTGACGTTGGCGTGTCTCTTTCTGACCAATAATATGCTTAGCAAGAGTAGTACAAGTCATATATAAGCGTAAATAATAAGCAAGAAAGGTACTATAAAAGAGAGCTAAGGATGGAAACGGATCTGTTGTGCCATAACTAAGCATATAAAACCTGATTCTCTATACCGAGTCAGAGAAATACAACAGATTCCCCCCGTGACACATGACTAGTCCAACGGTCTCCTGATTGGTTCGGATTCACTCGTGTGTGTTACATACATTCGAACCCGTCGAGTGCCGAACCACTGCGTTGAGGGATCGAATAATTCCTACTACATGTTAAGTCATTAAACAGATCTACAAAAAGAGGATTAGATGGTCATTCCTACTATATATACAATGTCTTCATGTAAGATGCAGCTAGATCATATGGAACTACTCAGAAATACGGTTGAAGCTACGTAATATCTCTCCTGTAGCGCTCTGAAACATGACACATCACTTCCTGGTTATGCCCAACCGTCTCTTGCCTTGGGCAGCAAGGCAGCAAGGACGCCCCCCGCCTCTTGCCACCATTGCCATCAGATAAATGCTATCTGGGTATGAAGAAATGCGATTTCATTTCTTCACTACTACCGAAACCAGCTTTGGTATATAGTATTTCTCCGTTTCTCCTACGCCGCTTACGTCGAACTGCCTTGCACAATGTCGGGCATCGAAATTGCCGGCCTGGTCCTTGCCGCCCCAGGAATGGTTCAGATGTTTTTCGACATTGGCGAAAAGATCCACAAAAAGATGAAGAATGACAAGAGAACAAAAGATTATGCTAGAGATCTCGGCAAGTTCCTTATCGATGACGGCAAAGCGCAGGTAACTCGCGATTTGGAGCTTGCAAAAGGAGTATTAAGGGATCAAACTACGCGAACCGACGAAAAAGAGCGAATAAGCCGGGTCTTTAATCGAGCCTTGGGTCAGTTGAAGCACATCGGTAGCTTGGTAGACATTGCGCTGGGATCTGAGCTTCTATGGCTCCGAAAACGGTCGATGGCGTTAAAAGATCTAAAGGATGAGGTCAGCGACATGAGAGCTTCTTTATCTGAATTCCACCAACTCGTCATGAGTTTGCACACTATCGCAACATCAGAGCCCTTGCTGCTGCTAGAAGATCAACATTTCGTCCTCATTGGCGCTGAGAAAGACGGAGACATGCTGAATGCCACCACATGTATCACGAGAGGTCGAGCGTCGAGCGCGGTTTTCCCTGATTTTCCGGGGAACGGCCGCTTCATCTTGGAAGCCAAGCATTACACAACATACACCATGAAACCTGTCAAAAAAGACTTGCGTATTCTATCACAGAAGCTGGCTGCCGCGAGTCCAGACAGCGGCATTTTGCCCTTGCTAGGATTTCGCGACAATCCTCCAAGGAATGAATTCCAGCTGGTGTTTAGCATTCCTGATGGTGTTGGATCTATTCAGACTCTTGACAAGGCATATAGCCAACCGCAACCGTCACTCAACTTTCGGATTCATCTCTGCAGTGGGCTTGCTGAAGCTCTTCTGCAAACGCAGAGGCTGGGTCTTGTCCATAAGCACATCCGACCTGAGAACATCCTTTTGCTTTCCACGGGGGATGATGCCCCTCCAACTGTGTTTCTAGCTGGTTGGCAATACGCTAGAAACGTTGACGGAAGAGTCACAAAGCTCATTGGAGAAAGCGCATGGCAAAGAGCTATTTATCAACATCCAGAACGCCAGAGCGACCACGTGGATAACGAGTATTGCATGGGTCATGACATTTACAGCTTAGGTGTCTGCATGTTGGAAATACTGACATGGGATCCTCTTTCCATCACTACTGGCGATGGTGATTCGCAAGAAGTATCCATGTGTCAGACGTACAGGGCAACTTTTGCTCAAGATGAGTTCAGGAACGAATCTGAGGAAGAAAAGTCTGACGAGGAACGGCTCATGCAGAATCCTCAAATGGTTCAGCGCACCCTTTTCCGTATGGCCGAGAGACTGGTCCCGGCCGCAGCGGGCATCAGGATGAGAGACCTTGTATGGCACTGCATGACCTGTCTGGATGAAGAAGCGACCCGTGGGCAGTTCCAAATTTCCCAAGAAAGAGAGAGTAAGGATGTTGCTATTGGTTTTGTTGACACTGTGTTGCGAGACATTCGTCGAGTTATGAGCGTCATTTGACATCGAGCCATGAGATTCATGAGGAAGGGTATAAGTGGCCTGTGGCCTTGAATGAGAGTCATGTATTTATCAATCTGCATGCTAGTTCACAAGAGCAAACTAATAGCGTCATTCCTTATAATAATCTGGCCGCCTGTTATACCTATCAATGATATCCGGGTCCGCCCCATACTTGATTAACAATGCCACCACATCCTGCTTGTCTTCTTGAAAGGCCAGATGCAACGGTGTCCACCCTGAGTTATCCCATTTTTCGTCTACATCAATATCTTTGCCAGTGGCAAGTAATTCCCTGAACTTGTCTAGGTGATTTAAGAGAACTGAAAGATGAAGCGACTTGGAATGTTTGTCGAATACTTCCCCTGCACCGTCATCGCAGAGTAAGCGCAACCTCTCAAGGATCCTCTTTCTTCGTAGTCTTACTTCATCGCCAAAAGCTGCAATTTCGTCAAGCCCAGATGCAATCTCTAATAGAGACTGCAAGAGATAGCCTCCAGAACCTGACTTAAAGAATTGATTTAAATAGAAACACATTTCCTTTTCATGTTTCGAGACGTGTTCTTGTGCAATCTCCAGGATAGAGAGACTACTAGATCGTGCAGACTTGTCTAGAGATTTGCAGCTGTCAAGTAGCGCTCGTAGTTCAGGTTGTGGTTCAGCTTCCTTATACAGGTCATCCACGGTTGCTGAAGTTAAAATTAGCAAGCATTATATTAATTTCACAGTATATTGTTCCTACCACCAAAAGAGTATATGTCTCCTTTAATCGTCCAGCCCTTTCCCAGTCTGACTTCCTGTATAATGTTAATTGCTTATGCTTCTGTCTTATGCTCTCTTGGGGACTTACAGGCGGAGAGTAGTCTGGCGTGCCGATTTTCCTCGTTTGCTTCTCTTCGCCCACGATGGCTTTTGCTAGCCCCAGGTCACAGAGCTTAACAATAGGTATTTTGTCAACCATAGGTTTCAAAACAACTAATAGTACTCCAGGCATTAATTATTTATATCGATTATTGCCCTGAAGGATTCACTTACCATTTGCTGGTTTAATGTCTCGGTGTATGACAGGCTCCCAGTGTCTTGCGAAAGAGAAAGTGCCCAGTCCCCTTATCGTGAGTCCATGATGTAGGTAAGCCATCGCTGCCGCCAACTGAAACGCGATAACCCAGACTTCCTCTTCGCGCAAGGGAACCGGATGGCTCAGATCCAGTTGCGACGTACTGTCTGAATCATCGTCACTATCTGGCCTGTAAACATGCTGACTCTCTAAATCCCCTCCTTCGCAGAATTCCATGTATACAGAGGCTTCTTGTAGCCTTATATTTTCTTGATATCCCAGATATGACACAATGAAAGGATGGTTCAGCTTTTGGAATATTCGGTTTTCTCGCAAAAAATACCTCCGTATCTTGTTTCCCGCAGCTGACTTGCTCCAAGTAAAAGTCTTGCGGAAAATCAACTTCATGTATGTTAATATCGGCCATTCAGAGAGTTTACAGCTAAGGCTTACCCGTGGAGTTCCTCTTCCGGAATTCTTTCGCAGAACTGCACAGTTTGCCTGCGCTCCTTGATTGATCGTCGCCTCCTTATCGACTTCATATGCGAACAAATCCAAACGCTTTTTCGACCATGCTAGTTCGACGGCAGACTGGTTACAATCGTCAGTTATATCTAGATTAGCCCCCGACTCTATCAGAAGCTCTTGAACTGCCTGTTGCATATTTCTGATAGACTCATGAAGTGGTGTTGAGCCTCTATTATCGATCGAATCGATGTTAGCTCCGTTTTGAAGTAGATGCTGCACGATGTTTATATGACCACATTTCGCAGCCCAATGCAGTGAGGTTTGACCATTTTCGTCTTTGGAATTACTGTCAGCATGTCTCTCAAGTAGCAGCTTAACGCAAGCTTCGTGTCCATTGGCAGCAGCCCTTGACAAAGGCGTCGAACCATCCTCATCTTTTGAGTTGATATCGGCAGTATCTATTCCCAGCAACAAATCCACGACGCTATCATGTCCTTGCTCGGCGGCATACGTCAGTGGCGTCCGGTTGCACTTATCCTTCACGCTCGGTTTACGCCTTTGCCGAACAAGTGCATCGACTGCTGAAGATATCCCTAAATAAGCTGCTAAGTGCAGCCCTGTCATTTGTCTTGGGGCATGTGGTGAGTACTGATCGACGTGCATAAGAGCTTGAACCGAAGCTTCTACTGCCATCTTGGAGTCCAGGAATTGCATCACTTCTAGGCTTAATCTTGAAGCATTGCGAGCATGGTGTCCCCAGTAATTGGCGGCATAGTCGTAGAGAGGATTTGACTGCAAACGATTCGCCAATGCTGCATCTGTCTGACAAGGACCGCCCTGGAAGACGCTGAATGAGAGGTAGGCAACACAGATTCTCATCATGTCGAAGTCTGCATCCGGAAACCACCGATTCGCCTCTTCCTTGAAGTAGTCTTGCGTGGTGTAGTGGGCTAAGCGGATTATTTTCCTTTGCTCATCGACTGCGACTAATCCAGCGCATACAGCAACTATATTTTCAATTTGTGGGAGATTCTCTTCGTTAAGCTTACATTGTCCGACTTCTACCGCAAGTGCATATTGAAGTTCTAATATTGTCAACGGCCTCTTAGTAAAGGTTAGCCAAGACAAAACTTGTTTTGCAAGCTCTCTAGCAGCTAGAGTCTGCCTCATAATCCGTTTCATCGTGTCTGCATGGGTTCGATGGGACAAATCGGATCCAGTTGGAAGCCCCTTCAAGGCAGCTCGGATATCCCTAGTCGTCAATTTGTCTAACAGAGAGTTGAATTGAAGCTGCGCAAGAAATATCCTAGCAAAGTCAGTGGCATTCGGCTTCTCTTCAAGCGTCCACATACGTTGAACATGCAGATTCGATGATCCTGGCCTTAATTTTTGCCCATATTTCGGAATTCTGAGTCAAAGACCCCGGCAATTTGCACAACTGGGAGTCCAGATAGATAGAAATTTCTTCTGTGCTTGTACGGATTTCGAAAAATTGATCCTCTTCGAATATGTCTCTGCCTGCAGGGAGTTCTAAAATTGGACCTGCTTTGAATTGCTCTGTGATTTCAGAAATGAATCTTGAGGTCACGAAGATCTGTACGCGATTCTTGTCTCGTAGGCTGAAGAGCTCGGACAAGAATCTTGCTCGAGTGCCAGATTTCTCGCATTCATCAAGTGCATCAACCACAATATATACTCGCTGATATAATGCAACCACTGAATGGAGCGCTTTCGATATTTCCTCAAGTGATGGTATTGTGCTCCCGTGCTTATGCTTATGATAAAGTACTGACACAGTCTCTGGCAGAGGAGACCTCTCCTGACTCAACTGCCTTAAAAGGCTTGCAAGTAGGTCATAAATCTCTTGTTTGTCTTTTAGCCGGTAGCTGAAATATATGTACGCGATCCCAATATCTTTTTTGTGCCGGAATTGCAGATGAAGGTCGTTAATAATAGAACAGGCGAGGATTGTCTTTCCCACTCCCGGACGTCCTGGGCAGAATAGTGTCTTGAAATAATTCCCATTCAGCCACTGCTTGTACTCTGACGTCTTCTGAAACCCTAGTTTGGTCCTTGGTTGTCGCTCCTGCAGGTATTTTGCTTGCTGATGAGCATAGTCGAATAGCGTCAGCCAGTTAAGCATCATCTCACGTTCGTCTTTACTGTATGTACGGCCTATTAAATCATTCTTTTCGGCGGTTCCTACGATGACGTAAGATTAGCGTTCGTCAATGTAATAACTATCCCATGGAACTGACCAGAGAGAATATCGATAACTCTCGTCCAAGCCTCAAGTCGACTTGATCTTGATCTAATTCGAGCAAGAAGGACCTTTACATATGCAGCAGCAGCTACTATTGCATATCCTTGCCATTTCGTATCCCTATGCGAGTCTGAGTAGTCACATATCCCCCGAATGACTAGGTATGGGAAGGGGTTCTGAAAATCAGCTGCTTCTGTCTCAAAACATAAAACATTTCTATGAGCAGCAAGCGCATCTCGAAGTGCCGCATCTGTTATAGGCTGTTTTGCAGACGCAATAACACCATAATGCACTGTCGGAGTATTCTGTACTCTCCTGAGCTTTGACCTATTGTAGAAGTTGGCGGTCGTTAAGATAGGAGAAACCTCGGGGTCCAAGAGCAAATCAGCATCCAAATCTGGCTTCTTATATATCTTTTGTAGTGTTGGACTCTTCTGAAGAATATGGTCCTTAACTTCTCGGATCGTATATCCTTTGTACTCTTTCTCAGACCTAAATGAAGTCACCTCTTTCAGCAAGGAGAAAGGCAGTGGACTTAGAAACTGTGTTTTTCGAAAGGCCCGAGTATTCACGGTCTCGTCAAAGTCGTATTGAAATACAGAGCCCTGTCCGTCACGAGGTATGCCTACCACGATATCTCCTAGGCGGATGTCACGTTGTGTACTCGGCACACCGCCGCCGATGCCGACTAGTAGGCCCATACGGATATTAGGAAAGCTTTGTAGCATATTCGTTGCCACAGTAGCTGCGGAAGTTGTTTTGTATTCACTATATGGCGAGCAGGCGATAGCGACATTATAATGCGCAATTATGCCCAGTGTGTAGTCGTTGCTGTCGTTTGGCGATAGATGCTCTGGTTGTTCGTGCTCTTTGTCAAGAGCCGCCTGTGCGGCAACATACTCCATCCATGTGGCGCAGATCCAGCCAACAAAATAGTCGCAGGGATCTGACATCTTCGTGGAGCAATAAAGACACAGATGGTGGCGGGAACTCTGAGGGGTTGACGACGTTGGGAGGGAGATGTCGCTGTGAAGCGCTGAGTGTTCGATTGCGCGGATGCAGGTTGAGAGACAGTGGATTACCAAGAGCGAGGCAACGGTATATTCGTTAAGGAAAAATGCTTGGTTGATGTGGCTAATCCCAGAGCTCAAGGATGAAAGGTTATGAAGCCGAACTCTTTGTCGTCGATCCTCGGTGAGGGGAACATTGGGCATCAACTGCCGTCGCACGACATGAAATTTGATATTCCATCAGCTACAATTGAGAATCCTCTTTGATTGGATCAACACCTCAGCCAATGGTGGCATCGCACTTAGCAGGGATGGGACGTTGTCATACCACAATGTCCTCACACAGCCGGCGATTGAGACTCCCATGGCTGCTTATGGATTGTAAATTTCGATATATCTTAAGTCATATTCTCAAGAGACTGTGGCAAATGAACAATAGTCTCGCTAAAGTCTTTTTCACGTACCACAACTGTGTATCTTATGTGATATAACCGGAATCACGACGCTTGGTACCGCTAGTTGTGCAATGTCGTTGGGCCATGACGACGTGTACGAGCTGGAAGAGGCTACAATACGTGTCCACTTCTGCAAAACTATGGTGTAAGAATGGGCAGTTGAGTGTTGGCGTCATGGTGTAGCCACACTAAGTAAAAGGGAGTACTACCAGTGCCTGTTATGATAAGCCTTATATACCTGCTAGTTGTAGATGCCTTGTATTTGACCCGTTGACAGTTGATTAGTAACATCGACTTCCATATTGGCATCGAACTGATACAATGGAGTTTAAGGCGATTAGAGTGCTTCTTGTAATCTCACACACATACTCGCGTACAGCCGTCTGGCTATGCGCCTACCCCTGCTACGCATTGGTTGGTACTTTAAGATGTTGAGTTAAATATAATAATTACACCTTCTACGGTACCATAGTCGTAGGCGTCTACAATTCTTGCCCTGTGACTTGGTAATTTTACCAACAAGAGAAGCCGGTCATAAAGAGCATATTTTCGCTTTGGTATACTGGAGCCTATAAGAACATGGCGCGAAACGAGGACGGCTATATGGATAAAAAGGGATTTAAAACCATACTGATCCAGTGTCTGCAGGGGTTTAATTGTGTCCTTTGTGCAAGGACAATAAGGGGTGTCCTGTTTTCGCATCAGGATTGTCTCTTCACTGGCACTCACAGGATCCGAATATACTGTATGATCTAATCGTTAAAGCGTTGAACATACTCACGTCACTTATTGTGCCTGCTTGGCTTGGTGTGACAAGGGTTCAATTATGAAGGCTTGGAGCAATAGGGCTCAATTCAATAATAATCTCGTAGGATATCAAAGGTCCTGAGTTGCTACAAGAAAGGAAGAGAAGGGTGACCGCCTTATATACATGAAAGGAACGCCCGGGCTTAGGGTCCTTGCCCGGACACGTGTTCTAGCCGTATAACCAACAAGTCCTGTATCGGCGTGAAGCCCCTTTATTGGGCTTCACGATCTGTTGGGCCTTTTCCGTGTAACACTTGGTTACAGTGTGATCAGCGGATTTGGTCAATAAAACAGATCTCATAACGATGTTTAACATCCTAATCGCTAAACATCGGGGCATCCAACCACAAGCGAATCTTGTCGATAGCAAACAAATCATGGCGCTTGTCTGACATATGATAATCCTTCATCTCCCCCTCGATCCATCCCTTGGTCCCCCGGCTGGTTCCAAGTTTAGCACCCATCTCGCGGGCGGACCCGAAGTCGATTAGGACCGGCATGCCTTCCTTGTCCACCAGGATGTTGCCTGGGTTAAGATCGTTGTGAGCCCAGCCGAGAGAGTGGAGGTGGTCGATTGCTGATATGAGGGCCTGCATGAACGGTTCCTTGTCCACGGACCCAACCTTGTTTTTAAGATGGTCGTTTAACGTGTTGGAGTGGCGGTCGAGGACGAGACCAGTGATGCGGCCACGACGGACTCTGCAGCCATGGTAGTGGATGATGTTGGGGTGGGGGTGCTGGGAGATAATCTCCATCGCTCTAGCCTCCTCGAGCAGACCTTTAGGACCAAGGTTGAGGACGTTGTGCTCTTGGAAGATTTCGTACGTGGAAAGATTTGGGTGTTTAACGTAGGTGTTGGGTGGGAGTGTATCCGGAGCCTTGGTGAGTTCCACCAGACATGATAAGGCGCCCATTCTGGAAAGAGATCATTGTCGGAGACGGGAGCAAGGGCAAACGAAAGTTGCGAAAAAGTGATGTCGCTTTTGGTTTGATTCAACTTGCCAAAGTAGGCATTGTCATGTGCATCGAACGCTGCAAAGCTTGTGTGTCGGAATTGGCCGGTTTCATCGTCAACTTCCTCGTCGAAGAAGGCTAGGTCTTCCCACTCTGTAATTCGGAGTGCCATGATGACGGGGACGCTCTCTTGGGGGTGAAGGTTGTCAATGTGATACAGATTATA